CTTTTGATCGTAATCAAGCCCGACGCTCTCGAGCTTTCTGCTGGGTTTTGGTGACACTGGCAGTAATCGAACACCGTCGGTTAAACACCGGCGAATCGTTTATGAATATTATTCGTGGCCGATTGAAATCTGACTCTCTCGGCCTGTCTCGCGCTGATGAATGAGTGCGGTTTGCCTTTCCACTCGCAATATGTGTATTTGGGGTTATCAGATCGGACGGAGTGAACGGGAAATTAAGTTAGTTTTCGGGTGGCTGCACACGTACGACCCGATTATAACTTGTTTAGGGCATTTCGTATTTTTTATTTATAGTGAAAAATTTTCACTTGGATAGGAAATAATTTAATTAATTTAACTCACAACGGTTGAACTTTACAAAATTGTTAAATTTAAATAATAAAGAATTAAAAATAAATTTATATTCTGTGACAACTTCAATATATTTTTTTAATGTTTGAATATTTTGTAAAATTTTTAATATTTATTTGTTTTATATAATTTTTTCTAATTTATATATTTTAGCATTTATTATTATGACACATTTTGACAGATATTTTTATATTATACTTGTTTATTTTCATAAATATATAAATGCAACTAAATAAATCATTTGTACACACATCTGAAAGTTCAATTATGCAACTGAAGTTGACTCAATTTCCTTATTAGAAAGCGTGCTTGTTTTCACTATTTAATTGAAATTGACTTGGTTTGATAAAGGTACTTAAAATCTGTGCAAAACAAAAAAAGCAAACAATACTGGAGATGCAAAAAAGGTTTGAATTCTTTCTTCGCATCGTTGAAGTTTAACAATCTCTTCATATTCCTTCGGCTTAAAATTGCAAACATCAAAAAGATTATAATCATCCTGCCTTCAAAAACATCTTTCTCAAATGAAAACTATTATATTTTCTTTCTTTGCCGTTTATATGTGATGGTCATGAAAAAGACGCACTCTTATTTTAAATTTCCAAGAGTGTCTGGTTGATTTCATTTAAATAATCAACTATCGTTTAACAACTAACTTAAATTTCTTTATCTTGGACAAATGCTGAAAAACTGAAAGAAAGTTTGGTAATTAGGAAGGTTTGAGAAATGTCGGTTTTGATTTTTTTTCAGTTTTCTATAGGGTTTGCTGAGCTATTTAATGTTAATAAAATAATAATATAATAAATTAAATAAAATTATGAATTATTTTTTTTTTTGATAAATTTTTGAAAAAATTGTCCATAAAGAAAAAACTGCAATATTGAAAGGTTTAAAAATCACTTTCAAAACTATTTTGTGCAGATCATAGGCATTAGACATAAATCGGCGTTTTCCCTCCATATATATTCAGAGGGGTTGGTGGTGTGGCAAGCAGGGTGGGCGGGCGGTCGGGACTACCACATAACGGATGATTGGAGTGCCTGGGAGTTTCATATCTCTCACTTAGGTTAATGCAGTTGGAGAGTGGGCCGCTTTTTTGCACGCGGCAGGTGCCGTTCCGTCCGTTACAAGGAAAAATGAAGACGCGCCGAGAGCGCGATGGGGGGCGGAAAAGGTTGGCATCGCCGCCCGAGGAATCGTTTTCCCAACCGGGGAAGAGAAGAAGCAGGTGTATTACACACGATCGAGAGAAACGCCTGAGCCTGGGGCCATAGATAGACACCGTGTGTGCACCGCGATCGCTACGTGCACGGTCACTGCCGCGGAAACGCTTTGTGGATGAAATGGTGTCGATTAAATGTACAGCGTGTGCCGCCGGCGACCGCTCCAACGGGGACAAAATCGCTCATACACTTTTCTATTCAGTTTGTGCATGTGATGGTTTATCTATAACATGCAGGCCAGAAGATTTCTCTATTCATTTATTAAAATATTTCATCGTGCAGAATGTTAATTAATTTATTAATTTGTGTCAATCTATATGTATTAATTGTTTTTATCAATTCATAGATTCTGGAATGAATTTTATCGTGTTATTTTAAATATCAGATTAATAATTTTTTTTAATTGAACGTGATTATAGTTTTTTAAAACAAAAATTAGCACATGTAACTAATATACTATTAGTGACAGAAAATAAAATACGCAAAAAATTCTCTTTCATTTTGACCTTTTTAGCGAAATTTAACTTGTGGCTTTGCCGTTTTTTCATCAAAATTATTTAAATTGAATATTCAATTAAAAAAATTGTTACACAACTATATATGCATTGTTGAATTTCTGTTTCTATATATAATTATAAATGACGCTTATTATTTGTTTTACTTTTTGTTTTAAATTAAGCTGTCACAAAGTAAATATATTAATTTGGAATATGAGCTTTGTTTTGCACTAGTTTATCTTTTACCAACTCTTGTTGGTCTTCTTTTGGAAAAGATACACAGTAAAGATAGCAGGTTGATTAATCCACGAAATGAAACGAAAAACTTAGTAAATTAGGAACCGTCGGGAACTTTTCTGGCACACGCAAAACATGACAAAAACAGGCGTTCACTTTTTGAAAACTTTAACAACCTTTTGACGAAATAAAGAAACGAACTTTCACAGAAGACACGGACTCAAAACTCTTGCAATTAGTGAGCGAAATTCGCTGCTATCTCAGGCAACATCTGCTCGGCAGCCATAATACTTTTTGGTCTTCACTTCTCGCTCTTATTTTAAAAGCAGAGTTAAACAACTATACAGGCAGAAACCTTACATTACTGTTACATAAAAATATAAAGTGCACGTAATCGTCTGTGAGGAAGGGAGGGAGTTAATGCACCAAGTCTACACTTCAGAAACTAGGGAACATCACCAATACTGAATAAAAGTGACATTTTTTCTCAATATTATGCAGATCTCGGTATAAGTGAAAACGGATAATTTTATTTAAATCTCAACCCTGAAGAAGTGTATTAAATTTAAATTTTCAATCATTCGTATCTTCATTTAGCTGTAATTCTATTAAAAAAATAACTAAATAAATTTTTGAATTGTCTTTTCTAATAATAACAACAAGTATATCAGTGATATTCAAATACAAAGAAATGAAAGCAAAATCTTAAATGTATTATTTTGCCATATTTTCAAAAATTTTAAAATGCGTCTGTTTTTGTGTAAGGATTTTTTAGTCCCTCAAACGATTTTATCTCAGGCCCATTTGCTTTGCATTTTTAACGTTTGAGATTTAACTAGATCCATAAAATCAAAGAGTGGCAATTGCGAAAATTTCCTAAGGAAAATGGTTTGCAGGAGGTTGGCGGTGTTCCCTCGCCATAGAGGGTGGAAAAGGCAGATAGAAAGAAGAAATTTCCGAATCATGGTGCGTCTCGGTTGCCTTTTCGCCGAGGCAGCGCGGAAAAGTGCAGCATTATCAAAATTATTGCCGACGAAGTTGCTTCATTAGCGAAGCCATTCCACGCGATTCCCGTGAGCAAAATATAAGCGAGAGCGGATGTGTATGTAATATTTTTAAAGAGCAGCTCTCTCCATATTAAATAGCGTTTGCGCGCTCGCTCGTCGCCGGCGATATAAAATTTTAACGCCCCTCTTCATTTCTAAAGGCTGCTGCATGAACACATTTTTTGCTAACCGGTCTCCCTGGAGACGCGCCGCGCGCCATGAAGAATCTCGCTCGGTTTTATACGGGCAGAAAGCATTGTTGCGGTGCAGATATGTTGAACAGGGGTGGTGCGGGCGACGAGCGTTGATTGCGCATTTTGAGACGTCTCTCGATTTCGCGCTCATTAATCAGCTACGCAGAAGCAACGCCGCAGACGATGGTCATTAATTGTTCATTAAGTCGAGTGAAAAAAAGTAGTCGCTGCGAAAGAGACCCAAGAAGGAGGGACCGCTTTTGATTAATTGGCGAAAGTTTCGCGATTAGGTTTGATTGCGGAAGAGATTGGCCGGAGACTGATGCGTGATGGATGGAGGAACTGCGTGCGAAATTAATTATTTTCGCTTCGATGTCTCATTATTTGGAGAGAGTGAATTGCACTTTTCAAGTTTAGTTGAGAACTTCAGATAATTGAGTGAAGCACGGACTTGTAACAGGGAAGATTTTGTTAAAGGGAAAACGTTTTTTTCTGACTCCAACTGTCAAAGAACAGAATGCCATGCCAATATTTTAATTAAAATATAAATGATTAACTCTCTTACTCTTACCCCATCATAAGCCTTTTAAATCGCAATAAAATTGAAAACTCCAAAATCAAGGCAACAGTGCATGAAGTAAAATTATATTATTAAATGTGATTTAAGTAATGCATAGTGCAGCATAATGTTCAATAAATTCACTATCTAATTAGGACGTATAACCGCCAGTCACGAAACCAAGATGCTTGTTGAAATTCATGATTGGAGGTTTCAATCAAGGCAATTTATATAATCGAATCCGAATTTTATAATTTTATCTTTTTTTTTAAATCTTGTGTTGTAAATTAATAAATATAACAAATATAATTATAAAAAAATTGGAATAAACATATATTAACATTACTAAAAATAATAAATAAATTTTAGTTATAAATTGCAACAAATGCAAAAGCTTTTAATATCACTTACAAATATTATAATTTTATATTGTTATAACAAATAAACAATATTAATTCTAATAATCCTGTAAAGTGATGGCAAAAAAATAAAATGATTGAAAGTAATAAAAAAAAGCATATCGATATTGAACCCTTTCCAAGAACTCGATAAAAAGCTATCATTTTTTCATGAAAAAATTCCCTCTGTCAGATCACAAAGAAGATAACTACAGCTTACTAAATAAATTCAATCTGTGACGCGAGATAAGCACTTGGCGAATTTTCCAGTCCTTGACTCGAAACAGTCACCAGGGAGTGATGCAGTTGATTTTTTCCGCCTCTTCTACTTCTAAACTTCTTGCTTTTTGCCGCATCCGTTGTCACGATCAGCATGAAATCCCCTGTCTCGCTATGCAACCCGCGCAACTGGCGCTGAGCCAAATGCATTTATATTTGAGCACTGATGATGATCTCCGTTTCTTTGTGTGTTTGCAGGTGACAGTGAGCGACCAGGGCAGTCCGGCTTTGTCGTCGACGACCCGCGTGGTGGTGCAGGTCGAGGACACCAACGACCACGCCCCCGAGTTCAGGGAAAAGTACATCAAGGCCGACATCCCGGCCCTCACCGACAGCAGCGTTTTCCAGGTAAAAAAGATATAGAAACGGAGCTTCCTTTTTTCACTATCTGCAGAAGGAGAATATTGTGCATAAAAAGCTCCACACGAAGACCCTTAACTCGACTTTCAACGACTTTCAACGCAAGACATTTTAGTGAAATTAGGCGGAATTCACGGAGAAGCTTTTCAAAACGGCACATCTGGTCACAATAGCGAGAGCAGAAAAAAGAAACACGCATGCCGAAAACTTTGAAATATATACAAACTGTACGGGTGCGATTTAAAAAAAAAAGTCACATAGGAGAGCAGATTTCTTGTATTGCTGTACATAAAAGTTTGCTTTCTCTTACTTCGAGAGCGTTTCAGCCTTGCTTTTTGGGACGCCTGCTCTGTCGCTCTGAACAGGTCTATTTTCCGCAATCGCCTTGAACAGAAACAAGTTCCAAACGCTTCAAGTTACTAACTTTTCCCGCTAATTTTGAACATCAGAGAGTTTGCTAAAAAAAGTAAAACATTTAAAAAATAATCCATTTACATTCAACTCCTCAAGTTAATTAATTACATAAAGAAATTAAAAATAGTAGATATTGCAATTGAAAATTAAATTATAGTGGGTTAATTTCAACATTAATTGGGTTATTAGTGTTGCAGTTTTGTAACTTTTCTTTCTATGCTGGGTGGCTTTTAGAAGAAAAAACTTTAGACTAAATTCCTTAATCTTTATTACAATAAGAAACTAATTTTGGCAATTATTGAAAAGTTCATTCACCATTGTCGTAATGACTTGATTTGAATTTATTAATAACTTCTTAATTATACAAAAGCGGTTTCTGGAATTGACACCTTTTCCTTTTTATACTTAACAAAAATGAAATCGAATGAATCATATTATCTATTTTGAGGTATTTATATTGTAAATATTTTATTTTTTCCCAAAAGCTGCTTCCTTCAGCTTTTGACGGTAGGAATTTTTTTCTAAGACGGGTAAATGTTGCTTCAAACACGTACACCTTGCGCGTGGGAAGTGAGAAGATCGGAAACGGTTATTACATATCCTATCTTTTGCGTCGACGTGCGTGTGAGTAACAAAATTCCCGTCGATTTGTTTTGACGTTTGGCGAACGAATTTCTGTTCCGGGTGATTGAATCGAGGCTGTTGCTTTTCGCGGGCTGGGGATACTTTTTGTTAGTTTTGTGTATTTCGCTTTTTGTATTGTTACGCCCCTGGAGTCTAATTTGACACAAGAAAAATGCGATACACAAGCAAAAAGCAACCAATATCTAGATTGATTGTCCCTGGGGAGGTCATGGCCGATTGAGGATTACTTTTTTTCCCCGATCCCAGTGGTGTCCGCCGCTCACGTTTTTGCATCTTTTGCGCAGAACGACGACACCGAGGGCACTGTAGATATCGCAGTGATTGATAAATATCTCGAGGAGGGACCATGGGAAACTTACTCTCCAGACTCCTTGGTCGGAGATAACATACTGAGGGTAAGAAAATTTGCTGCTTGCCGCTGCCCCTTTGAGAATCTCTATTTTTTATTTCTTTGCTGGTGAAAAAGTAATAACTGTCAAGGCTGTCTTTATTTTATTTGTGTTCTAAATTTGATCACGACACTGGTTTTCAAAGAAGTCAAAACAAGTTTTTCTTTTATATTACATAGTGCTTGAAGTTCTAAAACATTTTTCTTGTATATTTATTTTATAAACCATCAGAAAAATTAAAAGTTAAAACTTATGCAATTCTTCTCTGTAAAAATAAAAATTCATTGTAGACAAGTCACAAAATATTTCACATCATTAAAATAAAGTAATTTTGAGTCCCACTTATTTAAAATCGGTATGAAACAATTTGAAAAGATCCATTGTTTTAATTCATTTTGGAGTGAATTTAAGAGTTAAAGACTTTTTCGCCAGTCTATTCATACCTTTCTCGTCCTGCTTTTGCTGTATTTTTTCATGTGGGTGAGGTGTGAGTTTATTATTTTCCCCAGAATTTCCATGCAACCTGCCCCTTTTCATTTCGCACATCATCTCGAGAGTGGAATTCCTGCTTTCCCGAGTTCTTTTTATAATATTATTTCTGCGGTGGGGGTTCTTTTTCTGGCTCGCATGTTTTGCATTCTTGCCCGCCTCTCTCGACGCTTAAATCAAAACCCTGCTGCACGTGCACTTTATTACACACACATACCCTAAATACACCCATACACACATTCGGAGAAGGAAGTTCACCACGGCGCGAAAGGGTTCTCGCACTTATTATTTTTATTTTCGGTTTGCATGAAACGCTTTGAAGTTATGCAGAGGAATATTATTATTTTTTTTCGCAGTGGTGCTTTTCTTTGCATTCCTTTTCTTGTACGTAATCCAGCAGTGAGGTCATTTTTATTTTTCGATTTGCTCTTGACGTAATAAAATCAAACGAGAACTAGTTCTCGCAGTTGTTGTATATTATTCCTTGTGGTGCAATGATCACGATTAGTTTCTATTTTCTCATGTGTAGTTTATATTTTATTACTCTAGAACATGAATGAGAGACCACAGATTTTATATTCGTGCTGCGAATAGATAGAAATGAATGTTTTTGCTCTCGAAACAGGTGCTCGCTTTCGACGCCGACTCTGGCAGAAACGGAGAGATCGAGTACAGCATCAAGTCCGGCAGAGGAAAGGGCAAGTTCCGCATCCACCCGCAGACGGGCGAAATTTTCGCTCATCGCGGCATGCAAGTTGGACAGGACTATGACATCTTGGTAAGAAATCATTAAAAAAAAATTAATTTTGCTTCTTATGCAACACTATGTTGAATTAAATTAGTTTAAAACTACATAGAATTAAAAAAGATATGTTTTTTTTTTAGAAATATAAATTTTGCAACTAATTTTTATAGTTAAAATTTTAACAAATTTAATTTAATTTATTTTAATTTTTTTTTAAAACGTTCAATTTTATAAAATTTGTTTCTACAAAAATAATTGCTTTTATAGATATTAACCAATTTTTTTTTTTTTTTAACAAATAAATAAAGTAACTCCACTGCCCTTTATCAAGTATGATAAAGCTGCAAACAGTAATCACTAAAGATTAACTCCGCGAATTATAATGAAATCAAAGATCAAAGATTAGAACGTTAAAATGAAAAAAATTAAGATCGGAATGTAATAATAACTAATTAATACTATTTGGTAATTAAGGTTAAAATTTCAATTCTAAAATCAAAAGATTTAAAAATAAAATAAAAAATTATTTGAGACAATATTTAATTTATGAAGGATATCTAGTGAAAACTTGAAAATTTTAATGTCGTTGAAATACAGGCTCTTGTTTTACATACTATTTTAATTTTAGGTCAAAGCGACTGACCACGGCGTCCCGAGAAGGAGCCAAACGTGCCGCGTGAATCTGCACGTGGTGCCTGTGTCTGAAGATTCGCCGAACCCTCCCTCGGTGCGCACCGTGAGTCAGCAGGTGACGGTCACAGAGAGCGACGAGCCCGGCTTTCTTGTCGGAATCATCCAGGCCGAGGACAAAGACGGAGACCATTTGTGGTACCAAATAATCGGTGAGTTAAATTTAAAGTCAGTTCGGCGAGCCGAAAATAATTCATTCGGAGGGAAAATATTTGTTTTGCAAAACTAGACCTAAGAAATAACTTTTAATGAAAACCAGCGCGTTAGCAGAATGCTGAGATGTTGTGCTTTATTCCTTCCAGATGGAAACGAAAGGAACGAGTTCTACATCGGCAGAGGCGAGGGAAACATTTTGCTTGCCAAAAAGTTGGACTGGGAGACGCAGAATGAATACAAACTCAACATCAGCATCACTGATGGGGTCCATATGACTTATGCACAGGTACGATCTTAATTTTATATATTTTATTTTAAATGAATAGAAATCGATGTTTTTTGCAAATAACATAAAAAATTGTTCCATTTTAGAATTTATGATTTTAAATAATATTAATAACTTCAAAAATTCCAAACTTTGTGAACATGGTTTTTAAACAAATTTATTCAAATAGAACTAGTTAAGAAGTATTTTTTTTTTTTTAAATTTAGAATGTAAGTGAAGTGTTCCTATCTCGGATTAAAATCTATAGTTTTTTTTAAATAAAAGTTAATTAGATTATTCAATTTTAATATTTTGGATTTAAACATTCGTAGCAAAATTTAAAATTAAATTGTGTAAATTTGCAGATGCTGGTGACAGTTTTGGACGTGAATGATCATCGTCCGCGTTTTGTGGAAGAAATGCTGAGCGTAGACATTTCGGAGAACATTGAGTTGGGCACCAAAATTCTGCAACTGGACGCCACTGACCTGGACGAAGACAAACGCGTTTTCTACAGTCTGCACTCAGCCCGGCATCCGTCTTCCTTGAGCATCTTCAAAATCGACTCGGTCTCCGGCGTGGTTTCTCTCAACGAGAAGCTCGACAGGGAGACCATCGAAGAGCACATTCTGATTGTGATGGTCAAGGATCAGGGCACGCCTTCCAAGCGGAACTATGCCCAAATCAGGGTCAAAGTGCATGATCACAATGATCATGCGCCCACTTTTGGTGAAACCCTCATGCAGGCCAAGGTGTTCGAAACTGCCAGCGTCGGAAGTATGGTTGCGCAGGTGTCGGCCATTGACCTGGACAAGGGAGAAAATGCTAAAATATCCTACGCAATCACATCTGGTTAGTAAAAATTTCCCACATTAATAACTCTTATTTTCCCCATTGAAAGTGTCAATTTATTTATTTAAAATTCTTACACTTCCAATTTTTATAGAATTCAAGAAATTAATTTTAATCCAAGGTCTATGTCTGAAAACTGTTTATTTTAGATTAAATTAGGAAAATTCGTTTTATTTATTAGTTCTTATTTTCATAATTTAACTCACAATCAATTTACTCCAGATAAATTCCCTATGAAAATAGTCCCAATTGTTAAATAATAAAAAAATTAATTTGTTCTCTAATTAAAATTAAAATATATTTCTGAGCTTATATTATCTCTGAAGACCGAAAATATATTCTTTTTAATAAGAAAAATTTCTTACAGTAGTTTATTTTTGTGAATTTATTCACTTTTTATTTGATGTATATGTTTAAACAATTTCTCAATCATTTTAAAGGCAATGTTGGAAATGCTTTCTCGATTGATTCCGAAACTGGAGCAATTCAAGTTGCTCGCGACCTGGACATGAACTCCAACAAAGAATACATGCTGACCATCAAAGCAACTGACGGAGGCTCACCCTCTCTGTCCTCTACTCTAAGGGTGCACATCATGGTTTTCATGGCTGACAATGCTCCCCCTAAGTAAAATATTTTTTGTTACTTAGGAATTTAGTTTAACTTATTTTGTTTTATGTAGATTTGTCAAGAAGGACTATGCTGCTGAAATTTTTGAAAACCTCCCTCGAGGGACTTTTGTGATCCACTTGGACGCCAGAAGCACATCGAGTCTGCTCTTTGAAATTGTGGAGGGAAACGTTGAGGACATGTTCTTTGTCAATCCGAGTACTGGAGTTGTGGTCACCAAAAAACCGCTTGACTACGAAAAGGTCAAATTCTACAACATTTCTGTGGATGCAACTAACATGGTGAGTATTTAGCAAAATATAAAAACTCTCATGAAACTGGTTTTGTTTAATTTTAACCTAAAAATGTTTTTTTAGCTTCATATATTCTCAAAAATGTTTTACTTCCCCATTAAATTAGTAAATAATTTGCTTTGGTTGATTATAAAGGTATTCTTTCCAAAGATGGTGGCAAATTTTTCAATTTGTTGGTCAAAATATATTATAATAAATTATTATTATATTATTCAATTGCTGTATAGAGATTTTTTTTTTAAATTTTCGTAAAAGTCATTTAACGATGAATTAAAACAGCCTCTGATCATCAATCACTCTAAATCAGGCTATCTATATTAATAATTTAAATTGGAATTCTCTGTGAGGATTAAAAATTATATATCACTTCTTTTATCCCTTACTTAGGCTGGCGCCAAGGCATCTTGTCAAGTGACAGTCCATGTGTTGGACCAAAACGACAATGCCCCCGTCTTCACTCAGGACCTTTTCGTCGGATCAGTGAGTGAAACTGCCGAGGTTGGAGCTTTGGTTCTGACCAACAAAAGCAGTCCTTTGGTCATCAAGGCGTCGGACGTGGATTCCGAGATGAACGCCCAGTTGCACTATGACATCGTCGAGGCCATTCCGAGGCACTATTTCCGAATCGACCCAAGCACTGGTGCCATCAGGACTGTTCGGTCCTTCGACTACGAACAAATGCAGCGGTTCACCTTCCACGTGCGAGTGTCCGATCTTGGCAAACCAAGACTGTCCTCCGAAGGAATGGCCGAGGTTCAGATTTCGGTGCTCGACGTCAACGACTGCCCCCCTGTGTTTGAAGAATCAACGTACAACGCCACTCTTCTGCTGCCCACCTACCAGGACGTGGCCGTACTCACAGTCAAGGCCACTGACCCTGACTCGGCTGAAAGGACTTTGCTCAGATATGACATAATTGAAGGAAATACTGGTAAGATTTATTTAATATTAAGTTATTAAAAAAAAATATTTTACAAAATGTAAAAGTGTTAATTTATGGTTTCTTTATATTAATTATTTGATTTATTGTAAATTTAACTTACTTTAATTTTATAAATTATAAATATTTATTAATTGTTTATTATTATATTTTGCAGCACATAGAATAAATTTTGGTAACAAAATAAGAATAAATTTTTAAATATTTTTAATACAGTGTGTAAATCCTCACTTGAGATAATATTTAATTAATCTGAAAAGAATATTTGATGTGAATATGCGTAAATTAAATACCGTTAAATACTATGGCAGATTTGAATTTAATTTATTAATTATTTATACTTAAAATAATAATGTTTGCAAATTACTAATTATTGTATAATCTAAAAGAAAAATTGAACCAGAACATTCAAAACTAATTTTTCTCAGGAAAAGCATTCGCTGTTGGAGAAAACACGGGTATCATCACAGTTTCAAACACGGCCAACATGCTGCCTTATTACAAACTACACCTCCGAGTGTCCGACGGCACTTTCAGCACAGTGACGCACGTCAATGTGAAGGTCGAGCGATCTGAAAACTCGGGCCTGGCCTTCCAGAAGGACGTCTACTTTGGCTCAATCACAGAAAACTCGACCAAAATCACAACCGTGGCAGTGGTTAATGTGTTGGGCAGCGCCTTGAATGAGCACCTGGTGTTTAAAATCCTCAACCCGACTGACATGTTCGTCATTGGACCCACTTCAGGCGCCATCAAGACCACCGGCAGGCGTTTTGACAGGGAGGAAAAGGACAACTATGAACTTATTGTAGAGGTAAATTTGTATAAAAGAATTAAAATTAATAAATTTAAAATCAAAATAATTTGTCAGGCTCAATAGTGGGGAATATTAAGTTAGTTATTTTTGATGCTAGTTCTTCTAAAGAGCGGATTTAAGATTTTGTTCTGTTTATGATATAATTTTTTTCCAATCTAGGCCAGGAGTGATGAAAACCGAGCAGATCGGCCCCGAGTGGCCCATGTCATTGTCAATGTCACCATACTGGACATGAATGACAACTGCCCCATGTTTGTGAACCTCCCCTACTACGCCGTGGTGTCTGTTGACGCCATCAAGGGATCAGAAGTTTACAAGGCGAGTTATATAAATTAAATCAACACAATCAAATGATTTCATTTTCGATCAACAGGTGCAAGCGGTTGACATGGACAAGGGTGAAAACGGAGAGGTGCGCTACGAACTGCACAAAGGCCATGGCGAGCTGTTCAAAGTTTGCCGCAAAACAGGCGAAGTCACCTTGAAACAGAACCTCGAAGGCCACAACAGGGAATATGAGCTTATCATTGGTGCCTACGACAACGGTAAATTATTTTAAATCTGTTCTTAATCAAAAGTTTAAGGAAAAGTGGCACTAATTTGATTTGATTTTACTTTTTCCTTTATAAAATTTATTCTTCTAAAGTAGAACATTCATTTTTTCTAGCATTTTCTATTTCTGGAAAATATGAATAAATTGAAGACTACTTTTTTTTTTTAAATTTGAATTTTGTTAAATGTGATTTTTGTAATTTTCAGGAATCACTCCTTGTTCGACTGAAGTGCCTTTACACATCAAAGTGATTGACCGCTCGATGCCGGTGTTTGACAAGCAGTTCTACACTGACACTGTGTTAGAAGACATTGAGGTGCTTTCACCATTAAGTCTGAACATCCAGGCTGAGTCTCCGATGGGCCGAAAATTGATTTACACCATCGAGAAGGGCAACGACTTTGAGGAATTTGCTCTTGATTTCAACACTGGTAAGTAACCCACTTAATTTTTGGGTTCTAGAATACGATTAAGGGATGCGATTAATTAAAATTTAACAATAATTAAGTTTAAGGTGATGGATTAAATGAATATCAAACACAAATAGTCCCATATTGGTAAAAATTAGTGGATTAAATAAAGTGCACCTTATTGCTGCTTGTAATCCCTAATTATCGAAGAAGATTTTTAATCCTAACTTCACCAGCCAGTATGAAAAAAATAAAGAAAAATACATTCGGGCCACGCATCATGCATGCAAAGGCATGTGTGTTTGCCCCCCTGAGAGTATTTCAGTTCAAAAAACTTCTCCAAATCGACGAGGATTGCTGAAATATTTACATTTTGCTCTCCACACATTTTACTGATTAGTTTTTTCATCCTTGTCCTTACAGCCCCTGACACTAGCAATGGTCCCTGTGAGTATTTTATCATAATAATCGGTTTTTTGCGCTTTTGTACAAATTGCAGCTTTTATATATAGTTTTATCACACCTTCCTCCACAAATTTAATCTGCACATTAAAGCGTGTGTTATTTTTTTGTCCGCTTGTGGCATGAGACGATGATTTCCTTTGTTTCATCAAATTAATCCACCTTCTCAACGCTAATTTTATTTGCACCCTCATTAATTTTTAGCGCCTTATTAGTGAGTTTTTTTTATTATTATTTTTGTGCTCTCACATTAAACATTATTTTCAGCTGTGCATCCACATCTCATCTGCACACATCACTATTGCCGATTTTTGCTAATTAGTTTGTAGAAACATTATGAAAATAGCAAGCAGTTCTTTAGATGTAGTGATTGCATGTTGCGAGTCGCCTTCAGAATTATAAATACCATCAGCACTCCAAATTTTCTTATCATTAAAATCATTTGCTAAAATATGCATTCATATTCCTGATTCTTTATGTTGCAACTTTTTTCAATTAATATGGAACTCTGATTTAACATTAAACTTTAAATCTTCTAAATTAAATTAAACACTAGCCAAAAAATAAAAAATAAAAAATTTCTCATATTTGTTCATGTTATATTAAGAATTGTATAATAAATTTTTGTATTTCAATTTATACTTTTTTTTAACATTTTATTTTTTATAATTTTTTTATCTTCATAATTTTTCCACTGATTACATATTTTGATTTTTTTTTCAATATCCAAACAAATTTTTATATGCATCTGACATTTAATTGCATTATTTTTGTGTCAGTTGAAATCAATTTTCTGTTGTAAATAAGCAGCTCTGATCTAATCAATAATAAAATGAATATTTTCTAACTATTTTCTGCGCTTGTAATTGTCTCCAGGCGCCATTTACGTGGTGGACGAGTTGGACTACGAGCACAAGAAGCAGTACGAGTTGACAATCAGGGCAACGGACAGTGTGTCCGGCGTTTACGCTGAGGTCATTGCCAGCATCCGAGTGGAGGACGTCAACGATTGCGCGCCAGAATTCACGCAGGACTCGTACAACATTTCTGTGTCAGAGGCAGCACCGTTCGGCACTTCCATTCTCAAAGTTGTTAGCAGAGACAATGACACCGGTAAGTTTCTCCAAATTTTTTAATTTTGCTTAACAAACCTGAAAAAGATAAATTATTATGATGCAATTTTTTAATTCAATTTTTTAGAAACACAATTGAATTTCTTGTTTGATTTTTAGGTATCAATAAAAAAATCACGTACAAAATTAAAAAGGACTCGGAGAACTCGACCGAGTATTTCCATATTGATGCAGATGACGGCTCGATTTACCTGAAAAGATCTTTGGATCATGAGCTGCACAGGTCGCACCACTTCATCGTGGTGGCCACTGATTCGGGCATTCCTCGACTTTCGACAACTGCCCATGTCTGGGTGTCTGTTGTGGACATGAATGACAATCCTCCAAGGTTTGAGCAGCCGTCTTACACCTGCTTCCTTTCGGAACAAGCGCAGCGCCTTCAATTTGTGACCGTTGTCACTGCCAGTGACCCAGACTCCATTGACCAGGTAGACTACAATTTCCTTTTGATTAATAAAGTTTATTCCCAATGGTTCAAATCCATGGTAAATCAAATGATAAATTCAAATAAATGTGCCAAATTATTATTGTTAATTTAAAAATTATTTCATTTCAAATTGTCTAAATTTACACAATATATAATTGATTTTAAATTCATCAATTTTCTTATAATTTAAATTTAACATAAGAAAATAAAACAAAAAAATATTTACCAGCTAATGTATTTATTTTAATTATGTTATTTAGGAGCGTTTGACTTATTCCATTGTGGGTGGAAACGAGCAGCAGATTTTCCACATGGACCACCGCTCTGGCGTCATCTCCCTCATCAACATGCAGAATTTCGCCCAGCAGCCAGTTTACCACCTAAATGTGTCCATCACCGATGGTGTCTACACCAGTTTCGCGCGGGTCAAAATCGACATTCTATCGGCCAACAAGCACAACCCGGTGTTCTCCAAGCCCATCTACGAAGCCAAAATCACTGAGAACCAAGTTGCTGGCATGCCTGTGACCCAAGTTGTGGCCACAGACAAGGACAGAAATGAGTACGGAAGCGTCAAGTACAGCATCCCGTCCGACCTGCTCAGCGAAACCTTCGAAATCAACCCTGGCTCTGGTAAATTACCATAACTAGAAATAAAAGTGGAATTTTTAAATTTCTGTTTTTTATCTTCAGGTGATATAGTGAGTAAGAAGCCTCTAGACAGAGAGGAGATCAAATCGTACGAAATCCCTGTGATGGCCACTGATGGTGGTGGCCGGTCTGCCTTTGCCCAGGTCAGGGTCAAGGTCCTTGACGAAAATGACAATCCACCAGAGTTTCTACTCAGGGAGGCGAGAGCCTGCATTTTCAGCAATTTTTCAGCTGGTTCTCCTATTATGAAGGTTTGCATTTTATTTTGTTTTAAAAATGAGGAAATTTTATTTTTTAATTAATAGGTAAAAGCTGTTGACCCGGATGAAGGGTCTGCTGCTGAGGTTGAATACTCAATTTATGAGACTGCCAATACACCTGTCGCGGAGCTTTTTACTGTGCACAGACACACTGGTGAAATTTCTTTGCTCAAAAGTGTCGTAGGAAAAGGTAAAATTAAATTCAGAATTGATTAATGTTAGATTATATTTTATTGCAACTTGTTTTTTATTCAAATTTTAAAAATATATCAAATTAAATTTTCCTTTCTTATTGCAGAAAATCAAGTCTTCCAATTCTTTGTCAGAGCTACTGATAAGGGCACGCCTAGTCTTAATTCTGATCTCACAGTTGAGGTGTTGGTGATGAACACCCAAGATGTGCCACCTGCTTTTGAAAGACACGATGACAAATTCTTCATATCCGAATACTCACAGCCTGGTAAATTATATTCGAGCAAAACTTCAACCATGTATTTATGATTTTTTGCAGGCCTAATAATCTCGACGGTGAAAATGTCTTCTGCCGCTCCAGTCAAGTTCCGAATAATTTCAAAGGATGGCACTGAGGATCCTGCGCCTCTGTTCAACATCGGAGTCGATGGCCAGTTGACCGTGGCTGGAAAGCTGGACAGAGAGACCAAGGACACTTATGTGGTAACAGTACTGGCAGAAACGGATGACAGTCCTCCCCTCACAGTCGTCTCGGATGTCACGATCAAAATTCTGGACGAAAACGACAACGCTCCTAAGTTTGAAAGCAACCCTTACACAGTCGAAGTGGCAGAAAATGTTGAAGACGGCTCTTCAATTTTGAGAGGTAACTTTTAAAGTAAAAATTTAATACTTTTTATAATTTTGTCCCTCTTTAGTCATTGCTCATGATGCCGACCAAAGTAAAAACAAAGAAATCCGCTACACTTTCAACACTGACATTGGTGATTTGGCAAATGTTTTCACTATTGACCAATTTTCCGGCTGGATCACTACCCTAATTCCACTTGACATGGAGAAGCAGTCTGATTACAAGTTCCAAGTTGTGGCCACTGACAATGGAAACAACAAGCACTTTGCTCTGACGCAGGTGCACATCAAAATCAAGGACTACAATGACAATCCACCGGTGTTCTCCGAAAGCCACTACGACGCAGCAGGTAAAATCTACCAACTTATACTAAATTGACAAGTTTTAATCTTTTTATTTTATTAGTGAATGAGGATGCTTTACCTGGCACTGTAATCAAAACTTTGAAAACAAGTGACTTGGACTTGGACGTGTCTCTTGTTCAGTACTACATCACAGGTGGAGACTCAAGATCTGAATTCTCAATCAGGAGCACGGGAGAAGTCTTTGTCAGCAAATTCCTGGACAGAGAGTCCATTCCTAGATACGTCCTAGACATTGTTGCCACAGACGGAGAGCACATTGCCAAGACCAAACTTTCCATTGAAATTCTCGATGCAAATGGTAAGAATTGTTACAAATTAAAGAGAGAGAAAATTTATATAAATTTAAATTTCTTAGATAATCCACCGTACTGCCTGCGGCACCGGTACAGAAAGGTCTTGTCTGAAGGAACTCAGCCTGGCACTTTCATCCTCACAATTTTGGCCAACGACATTGACGAGGAGCCGAATGCGCACCTCAGATTCTACCTGACTGGTGACGGTGCTGACAAATTTTATCTCGACAAGTCCAAGGGCCTGCTGAAAACCAACAGACTGCTGGACAGAGAGGAACAACCCAAGTACAACCTGGTTGCCCACGTCCAGGAGCAAGACAAGCCTGGCTTCGAATGTTCCTCCCTGGTTGAAATCCTTGTGTCCGACTTGAATGACAATGCACCGATTTTCTCCACAAAACTCTACTCGGTGAATTTACCTGAAGACACCGAAGTTGGGACTTTGGTGACCAAGGTGCACGCCACTGACAAGGACATTGGGGTCAACCGGAAGGTCAAATACGCCCTGCTGGATTCTGCTGCTGGCCACTTCAAAATGGCTGGGGACAGTGGAATAATAACTCTGGCCAAGCCACTTGACCGAGAGCAGAGGGCCATTTTCAACCTGACGGTGCAGGCCAGTGACCAAGGCACACCTGCGCTCTCCTCCACAGCAGTGGTAAAGGTCGTCGTCCTGGACATCAATGACAACCCGCCAGAGTTTGCTTCCAAAAACTACTACGCAAAAGTTCCGGAAATTGCCCCCATTGGGACTGAAATTGTCCGTGTTTTGGCCACTTCAAAAGACACTGGAGTCAATGCTGAAATTTCTTACTCCATTGTTGGAGGCAATGAGCACAAGAAGTTCAACATGAATGCAAAGACAGGTAATTTGATTAGTAATAAATAAGGAAAAATCTTTTAAATACAATATTTGATTTGTTGTAATTAACTGAAATTTGTGATTTCAGGAACTTTGATCGTGGCCGAGCACCTTGACTACGAAAGGGCCAAGGAGTACTTCCTGACAGTCCAGGCCATCGACGGAGGAAATCCACCCCTGAGCAACTACGCCACCATCAACATCACAGTCACTGACAGCAATGACAACGCGCCCATTTTCAACCAAGTGTCCTACAGTGCCAGAATCAGAGAAGACGCGCAGGTTGGAGATAAAATTCTGCAAGTGGTGGCCAACGATCTGGACAGCGGCGCCAATGGCGAAGTGAGCTATTCCATTGAGAATGGGGACAGACATGAGCAGTTCTTCATGGACAAGAAGAGTGGCTACATCTCAGTTTCCAAGCAGCTTGACCGTGAAATGGTGAGTTACATTTTATATGCAGAGAAAATTTAAGAGATTTTTACTAATCAGAATGTTTCCTCCTTTAAAATTTATATTAGATATTATAAAAAAATTTGAATTTGTATTTTGTTTTCACAGATCTCCAGCTATGTTCTTGAAATTCAGGCCAAAGATCATGGCCAGAATCAACTGAGTAGCACTGTCATGGTCAACATTGACATTTCTGACGCCAATGACAACCCACCACTCTTCTCTCAAATGAACTACTCTGCCTTTATTCAGGTACAAACTAAAATTTAAAAAAAATATGAGTTGAAGTATTCATATCTTGCAGTTAAAAAAGAATAATTTTTAATTTTCACATAATTTCTTCCAAATTTTTAAAATTATTCTCAGGGTTTTCTGCACATTGTTAAATAAATTCTCAGATTATCTAATTGTGTTCTTTATTGTCTAAAATTTTAGGAGGACAAACCTCCAGGCCACAGTCTGTTGAAGTTCATTGTGACTGATGCTGATGACCGGCCGAACGGCGCCCCTTACACATTCGAATTCCGCTCCGGCAACGAGGACAACACCTTCATGCTAGAGCAGGACGGAATTCTGAAAACGGCGGCCCGATTCAACCACAAAATCAAAGACAGCTACCAACTGCACATCCGAGTCTACGACAATGGCTCGCCTCCTCTCTATTCAGACACCAGAACCTCAATAAAAGTGATTGAGGAGTCACAGTACCCGCCTGTCATCACCCCTCTGGACATTTCGGTCAACTCTTACCTGGACCAGTTCCCAGGTGGACGCATGGGAAGAGTTTTTGCCACCGATCAAGACCAGTACGACAAACTGAGCTACGCCTTGGCGCCTTCTCCGAGTGTTCCGAACCCCTCGGAGCTGTTTGAAATCGATCCCGTCGAAGGAATTCTCACTGCTTTGCCAGGACTGGACGCTGGGGTCTATCAAGTGAATGTCACAGTCTCGGACGGCAAGTTCTCATCCGTCATCCTAATCAAAGTCAACGTTGAGCCAATTGCTGATGAGGTGAGCTCAAAGTTTAATTTTAGAATGTGGCAGTTTTAAATATAGGCTTATTTTTTTTATCAATGTTTTCTCTAATTTTATTTCACAAGGCGTTAAAGTTTTTTTGATGTAATATTAAATCTTTGCATTTAAAGCATTTACTTCTTATTTTACCAATTTTAAATGATTTTTTTTTTATTTTTTATTAAAAACTAATATTGTACAATATTTTTTCTCATTTTTTGTGTTGTAAATTAAAATTTTCTGGCCATTTTCAGGTGTTGCAACAGGCAGTAATAATCCGCTTCCTGGACGTCACTCCCGAGGACTTCCTCTACAGCTACCGCAAGAACTTCATCAAGGCCATCAAGTCCACCCTGAACGTGCGTCTGAAGGACGTCATGATTTTGAGTTTGCAGCCCACGGCTCCTTCCCAGACGAAGCAGAAGATCCGTTTGAAGAGAGCGGCGCCCGGGCTGGACGTCCTGGTGGCCGTCAGGTCCCCCACCGGAGCCCTCGTACCTGCCGCAGAGGTGCACAGCGCCCTGAACAACAACCTGGACGACCTGGAGGCGGCCACCGGCCTCACCGTGGGCGAAATCACCTTCAAGAAGTGCACGCCTGGCTTCTGCAAGTTTGGAGAGTGCTCGGACCGGATCCTGCTGGACAAGACGCAGATCATTTCTGTCAACACCGAGTTGAACAGTTTCGTCGCTCCGGCGCACCTCCACAAGGCCTTCTGCCAATGCAAAGAGGGATATGACGGTAAGTTGTGTTAGAAAAACCAACTTTTTAAATGCAATTATTATCTATTAATATAATATGATATTTTTTAAATTACTTATTAAAATATTATTTAAATTTAAAAGTAATTTTATTATATATTTTACTTATTTTACTGGAAACGCATTTTCTTATCTAAGCAAATTATTGTAATGAAATTATAAATACTGCAATGCAAATTTAATTGAGATTATATATATTGTGTGTTGGTAGTAATAATATTTAAAACTTTTGAATATAAACATATCATCTCTGTAAATCTCCCTTTTTAAATTAGAAAAGTTTGTTAAAATTAAAATATCTATTTGTTAATATAAAAATAAATATAAAATTCCTTTCAAATAATTTGTGATTTGTTTTTGTCCAGGTGAGAGGTGTGAGAAAATAGTGAATGAGTGTGCACGCCAGCCGTGCTCCTCCTTCAAGGTCTGCGTGCCGGACGCGTCGCCCCAGGGCTACACCTGCCAGTGTCCGGAAGGCATGGCCGGTTCGACCTGCAAAATCGACATCTCCAAGTGCCACAACGAGGCCTGTTACATCCCGAGAAACCCGGTTTCTTTCAGCGGCAAGAGCTACGCCCAGTACAAGATGGACAAGAACCAAGTGAAGAAGGCTTTGCTGGACAGACTGAACCTCTCGATGAGGATCAGGACTATGCAGCCGGCCGGAACTTTGATGTACGCCGCTGGCAAGGTGGACTACCATGTTCTTGAGGTGAGTTTTCACGTTTAAATTAAAATAACAGAATAATTTTAAGAAAAAATTTGGTTTTTTTAAATGACGTATTGTTTATGAACAGCATTTTTGTCACATATTTTAAAGATGTTTTCAAATATAATTTAGAAATCCAGAATCATGCTAAATTTTTTACTCACAAACTGTTCTCAATTTCATTATTTTTTCAAATTCATTGCAATTCCTTTGAAAAATATTTGCGGAAATTTGGGAAAACATTTTTAAACTGGTTTAATGACATTTTCTGTTTTGCTATGCATATTTTTAATGAAAAATTATTTGTATAAAAATTATAACTCAAGTGATTACTAGTTTTTACGGAAAAATTCAAACTGTTTTAAAATTTTATATACTTTCATAATTATAAACACACAGTAATTTAAATAGAAATCCAAAAATTTTAGAAACAATTTATAGTTAATTTCATTGAAATTGTATTTTTTTTTTAAGCTGGTGAATGGAGTTGTCCAGTTCCGGTTTGACCTGGGCAGTGGAGAGGGTCTTGTGCGCGTGAGCAGCACTTACATCAGTGACAGTCAGTGGCACGAGATCCAACTGACGCGGGACAGCAACACCGCCCGACTCACAATCGACGGCAAGCATGTGGCCCACGGGTCAGCGCCGGGCATCAACGACGTCCTCAACCTACAGCGCGATGACCTCTACTTTGGGGCTGAGGTGCGACAACACCCCACCATCTTGGGCTTCGAGGACGTCCAGAGAGGCTTTTCCGGCTGCATGGACGACATCAGGATCGACGGAATCACTTTGCCGCTGCACATGAGCGGCACCAGCCTCGTCGCCACCCTCAAGAGGTTCACCAACGTTGAGTTCCATTGCAAACAGGTATGTTGTTTTTATTGGTTAGACAAAAAATATGAACGCCATTCCTGCAATTACCAAATTAGCACTTGGTGAAAAAATTGACTTTTTTACGAGTCTTCAGTAAAGTGAACAAGTTAATAAGATTCCACGTAAAATTGGTTTAGTCATAAGTACTAATTCTAGTTAATAAGAACAATAATATTAAAATATCTTTTACTTTTTTTGTTCAAAATAAGGAAACTTTTTTTGTTCAAAATAAGGAAACTTTTTTTTCTGTGCAAAAATGACTTTTTTTGCCCAGGACTTTTTTTTAACAAAAATTTTAACGGAGGATATCACCTTATTTTAGAATAAAAATACTTCATGTATCAAAAGTTTACCATTATACATTCTAGGTGTTTTCAGTCTCAAGTTTGATTTTTTTTAAGATCATATGATGTGAAGAACTTAAGTTTGAAAAATATTTAAAAATAAATTAACATAAAACTTTATGCACATTAAATGTATTATTATTAAATAATTTTATTTATTTTATAATGTTGAGATTTTTTTTTAAATTATAAATTTAATATTACTATATCATAGAAATGCCCAGAATTTATCAAATCTTAACAAATAATTTCATCAATGAAAAATTTTCCAGGATGGAATTTGATTAAAAATTTAAATATCGTTCAAGTCAATGTAGAAATTTTGTATGAAAAACTGCGTCTCCGGTTGCAACCTTTTTCTTGATTAGAAGTGATTTATTATTATGAAAATATGGAATCAAACAATCAAAATAAAATAGTATTAAAATGCATGGAGTCCTCATTGAGTAAATTATTATTTTTTGTACTTTTGAAAAATTGTTAATATAAAATTATCCACCCAAATAAATATATTATGAAATTATTTGAGTAGAATGGCTAAGAACTCAATTAATTACCAAGCATTTTTTTATGTGAATTATTTGCTCGAATCAATAATTACCATAAACAATTCTAAAATATCCATTTTATAATAAATTCAACCAAATGATGTTTCAAATCTATAAAATGTGTTGATTAATGAAAATGTAACTTTTTTCACTAAAAAAACAGGTAATTAACTGTTTTAAAATATGAAATGATTCAAGAAATAAAAACAATAATTTCAATGATATTTAAAAAATATTTATTTATATTTTAAACTTTATTTTAAAACTTTTTATTTTTATTAGGTTTTGCTTCCGGCCGGAGTTTGCGGTTCGCAGCCGTGCCAGAACGGCGGGACGTGCAAGGAAGTGGGCAACACGTACAAGTGTCTGTGCCACGCGCGCTTCACTGGTCTGAGCTGCGAGGTGGACTTGGACCCTTGCGCGTCCAACCCGTGTTTGCACGGCGGCCGCTGCCTGGCCACGCCTCGCAGCGACTACGTGTGCGAGTGTCTGCCCCGGCTAAGTGGCAAACGGTGCGAGTACGGCCGCTTCTGCAACCCCAACCCCTGCAGGAACGGCGGCGTGTGCGAGGAGGGCGACTCGGCGCCCATGTGCAAGTGCAAGGGCTTCACCGGCGAGCTCTGCAACGTGGACGTCGACGAGTGCGCCCACTCGCCCTGTCTCAATGGAGCCACCTGCATCAACGAATTCGGAAATTTCAGGTAAATAAATATTTACATATGCTGGAGAAAGTAAAATATTTATTCTGATCAACAACTGGAATCAGTGCCTGCCAAATTAAACAGAAATACGTTATATTTTATACGAATCATTTTACAAAAGAAATTTTTTTTTAAATCCATATTCATCAATCCTCTCGTGAAAAATTTTACCTTCTCAAAACTATTTCAGTATAAATTATTTTATTAAAAATAATTTTCTATAGAAATCCTTAAGCAATCAACTTTTGGATGCATTTTTATCAATTATATATCCATGTTGTTCTAAGGTTTATCTTTAAATAACCAATTAATGTCAAAATAGGTTTTTGCTTATAAAAGGCAGGTTGTTTTTATCAAAGAAAATGAAAAATAACATAAATAAAAGAGATCGACTTATTTGCAGACTGTCAAAAAGATTTGTGCAACTATACAAAATTAAAAACTAATAAAATAACTAATTTTATTATAAAATTTAAGCAACTCATTTTTATTTATTAAATTTTTAAATATAATTAATTTTATATTTGCATTTAATTTGTATAGACAAATTTTAGCCCAAGGAATTTAAAAATTTCATCTTATTGATGCAATGAATACTAAAATATTAATAGATAAAATTAAAAATTAATAAATCTCCGCAAATTCACTATAAAATTGTTTTGAATAAAATATTTTGTCATTCTTAGTCATTTTTTGTTATAATGTCAATGTTAAATGGATTATTATATTGTTCTTTATTGGATTGAACACCATGGGCGTGCCACAACTTAACACTAAAAATATAATCTCCAAGTCCAAATACACTTGACATTACATTTTGCCACTTCGCGCCGGCTCAATTTCTTTTTAGACAATCATTTATATGATACTGTTTACATATTTTACCACAAAATTTACATACACAATTGTCCTGTGCTTCAGAGTGATCTGTACTGTTTGTACAAAGCAGAAAATGGAAACCATGACACGCATACCTAGTAAAAACATGCCTATCCTAAAATTGAGCCAATGGATTATTAAATGAAGTGGATTATTAAATTGATACATCATTTAATGGAATTAATATGCTATTGCGGTCAATGCAACCTAAAAATTTGCAAATACGGCAATATTTTAAAAAGAAATGAACTAATTAATTTTCATGACGAGTTTTTTAGACAGACGTTAGTTACGTAACTTACAATTATAAATCTTTTAGGAAAATGGTATAAAAGTGGGTTGAATTTTTTTATTAACATCGCTTCTTATTTGCATTTTGTGATTTCTAAAATAATTTTTCACTATACATTTCTCCAATTTAAATTAATGATCAGTAAGCAAAATAAAATCAAAGGATAGACTGACCTAAATTTAGCATTCAGATTACGGAAAATATTTTTAATAGCTTTAAAAAAATGCCAAAGAAAGTAAGAAATTGTCATTAATTTGGAACATATTGAAATTTGACAGGTGTCTGTGTCCTCCGAACGCGACCGGCCACCTTTGCGGCCAAATGCTCTACAACACGCCAATCACTGCTGGACAGTACTGGGAGGAGATTGCGATGATCGGCGCCGTCCTGTTCCTCATTTTCGTGCTGGTGTTGCTGTTCATCTGCATCAGGCGTTGCACTATTCGGCGGAACAACAAACGCAGCAGCAACATCAACAATGAGACCAGGAAGGACATTGTTCTCAACTCGAATCGCAGCTGCGACGTCGATTTCAAACGCAGCTCCAAACTCAGCAACCTCGAGATGAGCCAAGTTAGTAAAATTTATTTTTTTAAATTATTGCAAATATGGTTTTAAAGTTTCTACTTTTACTCAAAGTAATTTTTTATTATTTATACTAATTTTATAGCTTAAAAGTGTTAAATTGATATTCCAATTTTTATGAAAAAATTTACTATCAAATGTAAATTACGGTTTCATTTTCTTACTTTATTCAAAGAGTAAATAATTATGCAATGATGCAATTTGTTGATACATTTCAAAAATTATTTTTGTAGACATTTGATAAAACTCCTTTATTTGTTTCCCATTTTCTTTCAAAATATCAATGCACACAACAAGATGTTCATAGTACTTTTGTAGAACTTCTAGAAGACACCTTAAATCACGTTGTGGTTTACCAGGAAATCTTTTAAACTTAAGTTTTAGTCTAAATGTTTCCTTTAAAAAACTTGTCACCAAAGTAAATGATCCATTTTTTTTATTAATTATTTAATAATCTACTTACAAATCATGTTAAATTTGCTTTCAAATAATGAAAAGAACATTGTCAAATCTTTTCTAAATCCAAATTTTGTGTACAGGTTCCTCCTCAATGTCCACCTCGTCCCGTTTCGTACACACCGAGCACCAACAACGAAAACGCGGCGGCCGTTGCGTACGCCACTGCCCTGAACAACCTGGACACTTCGCGCAACTACGGCTCGGCTGGCGACGAGTTGGAAAACATCCCGCCCGGCTACCTGCGCAACTTGAACCGAAACGTGGCCGCCATTCCGACGCTGCCTCCGGTGCCGCCGTCCAACCCAGCCAGCGACACGGACAGTCTGCACAAGCCGTGGATCGAGTCGGACCTCAACATTCCGTCCTCGACCGCGGCGGCCGCGAGCGCCGTCTACGCGGAACCGAACAAAATCAGGAATAACAGTGAGTGAAATTTTCTTCCAACTAGCTTTTTGTCTATAATGTGTATTTTGCTGCTCGATTGTTGATTGTTTTATACAAAAAAGTGTTCATTTTAGCTTTTTTATAGCTTTTGTTTTCATTTGCAGACAATTTTATTTTTAATTTGGCTTATATGCTTTTAATTTGAGAAATTAATATAATTTGCACGACGGAAACTTCATATAACTAAATGTAAATTATTTTAAAGACCAATATTTTTCTTTTTAATTCCATAATTAGAAAAAATATCTTTGGGTTCCAAAAATGGTATTCTTACCTTTGAGATTGACAATCAGGTTCATTTTTTCCCACGGAAACTTTAATTTTTTTAACTGCTAGTAAAGCTAAAACACGGCTTAATCCTTGAAAATATTTCAAATTAAATATTACTGAATCTCAATCTTAATTGGAAAACCTTCGTGGAACTGCCATTGGTCTTTAATTAATATTATTTTTAATGTAACTGTTGCTAAATTAATTATACGTATTTAGATTTTTGATGTATCTAATAATTTCAAATCAACAAGTAAATCTAACTTTGAATGCAGTAAAATGTATTAATTTGAATTGAGTGTGCACAATCGGGGCGCAAAAGCAGCTTTGCAAACAAGAAAAATGCTTGCAGATGTGCGTCGCGCGCCCGACTTGCCCGCCAAAGCTGGTTTGCTGTACAGCCGGCCGCAGAGGGCCATGACTGGCGCCTCGGCCTCCTCCCTCAGTTCCCTCGAGGACGACCCTCGCATGCTCGGGGGTAAGTAGCCCTTGCCACACAAACACCGCACCGCAGTGTTTTACTCTCAATTAATTGTTGCAAATTTGTATTTACAATCACTGTTTGTTTGTTCCTTGCAATTCGATGGAATTAAAAAGCTTAGAATTTTGGTCAGATTTCTAATTCGAAATAATTCAGGTTACCACTGGGATTGTTCTGACTGGAATCAAACGCAAAATCCTCTGCCCAACATCACTGAGGTCCCTGGCAGCGAGGTGCCGGACACTTCGAGCTTCCACAGCAATGAGAGTAACGAGAGCCACTCAAATACTCACAGCTCTCTAATCAGAACAGGTACAAAAATTTATTTACTCTATTGTAATTTAATTTAAAAATTTAATAAAATTAACACTTTTTAATTAATTTTATTATAATAAGTTAAAATTAAAAGAATTTATTATATTTATTATTCATTTATAACCAATTTTACGTTTTTAGCAAAATCTTTTTTTTTTAAATATTCTATGTTATTTTATGGCAAATATTATGAAAAAATATATTAGTCTGATTTGCAATAATTTTTAAATAATATTGTGCTCTCAAGAAATCTATTAATTGTGTATACAAAATTTTTACTACGGCTCGACTCATTCTTCATAAAATGATTAATTGAAGTGAACACATGGAACGTCTTTAAATTGCTTTCATGATGAAATTGATAACTAACACTAAACAAAATGAATTTCAAGAAAATTTAAAGTTTTACACAACTAAAAAAAATTATTTTTAAATAACAATTATCATGAATTTTATTGAGGCTATAACAGAAATTTACAAGAATTTATTTTTTACAAGTGGGATCTTGTGATTGTGAAATTACAAGGGTAAAATAATTCAGCAATAAGCAGGCATTAATGAGGAGCTTATGATATATCTACTTTGTAAATAAATTTTCTTAAACTGTTCCCATTAGATCAATGCGAATTTTTATGTCAACTGGCCTATTGATTATATTTTCCTGTCTTAATTGGGGTGATGTGAACGTGATTTGTTGAAATTTTTATCAATTTTGTTTAGGCCAATTTTTAGAAAAAAAAAAATTATTTTAGAAAATCCACATTAGACGTTAACTTTCAAAAATTCAGTTCTCCCAATAAATCAACTGTTTTTTTTTTTCACTTTTCATTTATTGCACTTGACGACTTGACACATATTTATATAATTATTTCGACAATGGAAAAATTATTTTCAAAATGCAATCTTCTCGCAATTTATTACACTTTTTAATGATAAATATTTTTTCAATGAGTGTGTTTGATTTTTCAGTTCCTTTGGATGAGTGTCGTCGCGAGGCGGATGGCGAGGAAAACGGCTACACTGTTGACTCTGAGGGCGGCACCGACTTTGAAGACCTGGCGCCGAGCTCGTGTCTGCAGAAACTGCTGGCCTCGCCCATTCTGGACACAAGTGACATGGCCGACGACTACCCTTACCGCGGCAAGGAGGCGTACCGAAGCCATTTGAACCAATACCTGCCGAAACCCTCGTACGCCGTCAGCGAGTCTGAAAACGAAGAGGCGCTGATTCCGCTCAAGAGCAGTCGGCTGCAGCGGGCGGCCAGCGAGGACTCTCAGGACGACGTCGTCCCGTACGGCTTTCCGCAGGGCAGCCAAATCCGGCTGGACCCGGACGGCTCCATCATCACTGGCATCGAGTCGACGGGCGGCTACACCAGTGCCAGCGACGTCTGCGACATCGACGACTCCGAGTTCGAGTCGGAACCCAAAAGCAGGACCAAGTTCGTGTGGCCGGACGTCACCCACACGCAGGTCTGACAGGACGCTCGATCAAAATTTTAAAAAGTGACCGAGTAAATTTATTATCAATGGACTCGAAGGAAATTATTTCAAAGGCAGGACGCGTCGTGCCGTTTCAAGCACAACACCCGCAACTGTGATGTTAATCTTTAGTAGAACTTGTTAGATTTAAAAAAAGGATATTTATGAAGAATATGAAAATATTTCTGGAATTTATCATAAAAATTGATTTGAAAAATCCAGACTACTTATGAAGGCAATAAACTGGAATAGCTATTTATTTAATTTGATTCAAAATAAGGTGCCATCCTCGGGACGAGAGTTGAATTCCTCTGTGGAAAGTCTAGGAAGGCCTAAAAACAAAACTACTTAAATTTCTCAAAAACAAACATACTTCCTATAAAAACTTGAGTTTCTAATGGCCGTCCTGACTTTCCTCAAATTATTTCAAAAAGATCTTTTTTCTTTGTTAAATTTTGTGTATATATAAATTGTTAGGCGCTCTCGTCTGTCGCTATATAAATATATTTATGAAGAAAATCGCTGATCTGAATATATAAAACGTGGTGTCCTAATTAATTGTAATAACTGACGGTTGCTTGTTTTTAATTTTTACACACTACACTGTAAAATTTAACAAAAAGTGTATTGAAACGAGAGAACTTTTGAACTTAACTTGCCACCAGAAGAGGGAGTATTTTTCCATAAGACTGCTATTTTATACGAAAATGAAGAAAAATCGCAAAGAAATTCTATTATATAATTGAAAAGAAAAAAAATTGTATGATGAAAAAATAGGAATGCTTGAATATAAAAAAAAAAATGAAATATCTCCCTCATGTGCCTCCTGCACTTTTCTATATATTTAACAAAGTCGCTTATGATTTCAGTTTAAAAAAGAAATACGTATCATCCTCTTGATCATCATCACGCGCGCAGCTTGACAAATACCCTTTTACAAAACAAGTAAAATAGCCGCTCCAGCTATGTAATCCAATTTTCGGGTAGAATAATTTCTCTTCATCTTGTGCTAGCTTCAAAAAATCCTCATCGAGCGCAAGTAAAAATTCACTCGCTTGGACCCTTTCAACGTGCTCAATCAAAATATTTAATTATAAAAATAATATACATAATTAAAAGCTAATTACTTATTTTCTTTCATTCTTGGTTTCTGAACGAACAGATCTCAGTCTGAATAATAAAGTCTCGATAGGATTTGCGACAATATGCCTTTGAGTATAAAACAAGAGCAGCTGTTTTTGTTTCGGTTTGAAAATTTCCACATATCACTTTTCTCTCTCTCGCTCGAACCTTCCTGTCAGTATTTGTGCTGCCGATCAGTCATTAATTTTAAAATTTAAGCTGTTTGTTGATTTATATAAGTATTTGTACAGAAAAAAAGTGAATGCTGCCATAGGTTTAATTTTGAAATCGATCAATTTGTTTTGTCCTTCTGCGAACTGCCCTTCTGGCGTGGCGAGTTTTACGGAAAACGAGAGAAGTGGCGCTGAAGGCTTTTAAACTTGTGTATAAATAAATCCTGGACGGGTGCGTGCGAAACTTTGGGACGAAGAAGAAGTTTGTTTGATTGTTTGTGAAGCGCACTTGAGAGTAACGAACGCAGAATAATTTTATATATTATGAACTGTAATGAAAGAGACGATGAGAGAATATTTGTATTATACGCAGTGTTAATTGATAAGAATAAATGATTGTATTTTTAATGAAAATTTTATTCTTTTTTTTCCATCGAAATAATTCCCTATCAAGCATTCAATCCTAAAATGAAAATAGTAAGAAAAAAACTGACCATAACTTAATAATTACTGATGTGAATTACGTTAATTAAAGTAAGAAATTTAACAAACGAAGCAAAGACTAGGAGACTAAATTAATAAAAATTAAATAATTATTTTATATGCTAAAAGATTGCGCGTTCTTTGATAAATAGTTTCAACAGGCAAGTTCCACTATCACTAATTGTAAGTTTTCAATTACAAATCTAACCTCTTCAAGCAGCTCATTGAAAGTTATGGCAAACAGAATTAGATGAGACAAAGTAAATTTCATAAATAATATGATTATGATTATGTGGTTCTTGAAACATATTATAAATAAATTGTATTTTCTAATAATTAGGTTTAAATATTCTTATGTTCTTCATATTTAACAAAAATACATATTATATATTAAAATAAAATAAATATTATTTAATTAAAAGCGCAAATAATAATATAATTTTCAAAGAATCAAACTAGTAGGAAATGAATTAAAATACTTTTTTGTTAGTAAATTTTAAATTTTATTTTTAATAAATTTAAAAGCGGACATAAAACACTCGATATACTTTTTAACGTAATAAACGCAAAATTATTATATAAAAAGATCATTCATACATTAAATATATAATTTTCAAAGTCAAATATTTAACTCAAATTAAAGGGGACCTTTTCGTGGAAATATATAATAAATATTCTTTTCTACTCGAGGACCAAATGCAGAACAATGAATTAGTCTAAAAATCACTTCACATAATTAAAGTGAGCACTTTTTTTCCGTAAAAAAGAAGGCACTTGTGCTTGCAGTCAGAGTGGTGGCCTCGGTTGCTGCGCCTTATTTTGATTATTTTGATTGTCCTTCGCGGCAACACTCGGCTGCTCTTTTATCCGCTCGCTGATCGCCTCCTTCTGCAGCTTCAGGAACTCGGAAAAGTGCGCCTTCAGGTCCAACTCGGACCTCGAATTGGCCGAGCTGTGCGCCTCGCATCTTGAAAAAAACCCACCGTCCTCCAGGTTCTCCTCATCAACTTCCTAAACAAATGGTACCAAAAAATTTAAAAACCAATACTATTATAAAAAAAATTTGGATATAATATAAAATTTAGTTTAATTGAATGTAATTTTTTATTTCTTATGAACTAAAAGTACAATGAAAGATAAATAAAAATGTGTGCGCAATAAAATTATCTGTTCCGAATGGATGCATCTGCAAAAAAAAATGTGTCTAGATTTTTTTCATTAAAAAAAAGCAGAATAATAGTGCAAAATTTATTTACTCATTTTTCCTTTCAATTCCATATTATTTCTTGAAGTTTTTTTTAATATTGTGTGTATTATGCAAGTGGTAGATTCTTAATTTGAGTAGAGTTTGCCTTTTGTGGCGCACAAATTAAATTAATTTGGTGCTAAAATTAACTCTTGGTGGGGTTTGAATTGCAATTAGGATTTTCCTGGATGGCTAATTGTTTGAGTCATTTCTTGTTTTGTAGAGTTTCCTCTCAAAATCCGCTGAGTAAGCTCAGAAATTATCGCATCCCAAACATTAAGAGTTGAATATTTTTTCTTCGAAAAAATAAACGACGCAGACAACCCAACAAGGAAAAGCTGAATTTCAAATTAAACACTGCGAATCATTCCCTAATCCGTGAAACTCTAAAAATATCTATTTTTACACAAAACAATCTTACGGTATCGAAATAATTGCTGAATAAAATTTTATGTTACTAATTGTTGAGGAATAATAAAAATATTCCAAAATTAAAATAGCCCAGGCCAAATTCTTAATGAATTAAAAAGGCAAAATAATTGGATCAATGTTTAGGCAATTATTGTGTGTAAAACTTATATAATATTTTGGAAAGTGAAATTAAAAGGAATAATGAAGTGCACCTGTATTTCCTGGAAAGTGACCGGCTGGGTCCTGTAGCGCGCCGCTGTTGAGCCTTTGCGGCCTTTGTTTTTGCGGACAGGACGGCGGTGTTGTTGAGACGCATGCAACCGAGACAGCGGCTCTGGGTACACGGCGTCCATTTTCGCCTCAGCTTCCAACCTCACTGGGCGCGTGTGTGCTTGGATAAAAAAATAAAATTAAATATATAACGCATAATATAGATTAAAAAAGTGATAATGCTTTACTATTTTTTTTTTCTTTTTGGTAATCAAATTAAGGGAAAAATAGATTTTACACTTCAAATTATTAACACTGATATATTTCTTTTTACTTTTTTATACTCTTATTTTTTTATAAAATAATTTTTTTTAATTTTTGTAAACTTATTTTGAAACATTTTCTTATTTTACACATTTAGATACTTTTCTTTGCCAAAATAGATTTGAAGATTAAATTAATTTTCTTACAATATTTTGAGGGTTAATGTTATTCAAGAATTGTTTTTCACCTCAAAGTGCTTTCTGTATTTGAGAATTTTGTGGTTAATTAAATATGTGATGTTAAAAATAAAATTTATCAAGAGAAGATCAGGAGGCAGTGTATATTTATGTATTACGCGTCTCTGTGGAAATATGGGTCAGCAGAAACTAATACGTGCGTTCAAGGAAAAACAAAACACTCAAGCCCGAACGGTACGCGGAGTGCTCGAGATAAATTCTTGCAAAACCTCAAAATACAAACAGCAAAAATAAAAATTCCCCGCAGACTCCAGCAGCGGGTTTTTGCGCACTTGCGACGGGATGTTTGCTCAAGATGAACTTTTTCCGCAGTTTTTAAATTCACATCCCTTGGCGGGTCGCCAACCCCTTTCATCCTGAGAACGCCAAACTCACCTGCTTTCGGAGCTGCCAAAGGTGACCTCCTCCCGGGCGAGTAACTGTCTGACCTGTGACCTTTCTCGGGCCGTTGAAAAATATTATTTTCGGTATTTGCAGACGAATTTTTTCGAATCGCAGACGAGAAGCGCGAGATTCGGAGACGCGCACTCTGAAGCACCACCACTCACTGGTCTATTTTGGGCCTCGCGCCGCCTTAATTATTTCCCCTCGGTCCGTATTCTCGAAAGCATTAAATTAAATCAGAGCTGGCGCGCCCTCTCGCCCGATCTGCCAGTTCCTTCCTGCGCCCCACGCGCGTCCCGTGTCCCGCCGACGTTTATTTAATGTCGCGAAGTCGTTACTTTTGCCACCGGCCCGCGTATGTACATTTTTCCATGTGGACGTCCACGTCGAAAAAAAAATACCCTCAATTAAATGTGACTTTATTTTTTAAGGATCGTTGGATACACACCCAGTTGCGAATGGAAGTTGCTTGGGGATTCGGTTTGAATAAGCGCATTGTAAGGAATTTCCTGATTGAAGCATTAATTGAATAATTCCATAATGGTAAAAAAATATTTATCTTGCTTAAAATATTATCTTTGGATTTATTATTATTATTTATACAGTTGTGTTTAGGTGCCTTTGACGTGTCACCATGCTTTTTAAAGAGTAGGAATAAAAAAATTTAATTGTGTTGCTTTAAATATTATTTTCGGAAGAAAAATTTTATTACCTCTACAGAATTAACTGAAAATTTTAAAAAACGGCATTATAAATTTAAATTGATAAAACGTTTTGGTACAAAAACAAAAAATTAAATCCCTCAAATATTTTATTATTGAAAATAGTTCATCATTCTAATTTTTATCTTTTTATCGAAAAATTACGGATTGTCAAAGATATAAAATATGAAATAATAAACAAGGCGAATACATCCTATGCGACACTTCAAATAAAGCACAAATCACAAATATCATCAATAACATAGAAAACTAAAAGTAAGCATATTTCACGCTTAAATAAAAGCAAATAATTCTGACGGTGACACATGTTCTCATATCTTTCTCTTTTAAGCATTGCGGCACTTTTGCACTCGACCCTTCTTAGTTAGGAAGGCAAGTCGCCGTAACGAGGCATGCAAATTAACAAGTGTAATTAACCAACCAACTTTCATCTTGGAGAGCGGCAAGGAGAAGACCCTTGGCCCGAGTGGTCGACCTTAATTCGATTGCGCTGCAGATTATCCATGTTATCACCCAGGAAGTAATCAAGGACAGAATTTTAGACCCAGGGGCTATACATTATTAACAAGGACATACTGTCAGAATTATTGGAACGTCTTGGAGAATGCTGAAAATTAGTTTTTTTAATTGCGTAACCATGAGAATCTCGAGACAATATATATTAATTTTAAAATTATCTCAAAACACTTACATAAATCTATGTTTTTTCTAAGATCCCCCAGTTTGTTTCAATTACAAAAATAAAATAATTTAATAAGAAATTAGAAAAGAGGCTCACTGCGGCGGATGGGGTCTTTTTGATTTCGGAAGTTTTAGCAAATTTTTTGCTAGTGGTGATCCCTTTTTGTCCAACGATCTCTTTTTCTAATTAATTGTTTTTCAAAAATTGAATGTAAACAATGTATTTGTAACAATGTGGACAAATTAAAAATACATATAGACCAAATACGCATTGCAGGTAATGGCAGTCAGGAATCATCTCAGGAAATGCCTAGAAAGGCATCAGATCAATAAAAACGGACATCCATATTTTGCCCTGGCACAAAAACTCAAAATTAAATTTTTGCGATCAAAATTCACACTGGGTTCAAAGGTAGGGACTTTTGCGATAAAAAATGGACAAATAAACAACAAATAAATTAAATAATAATAAAAGTTTATATTTTAAATAATAGATAATAATTGTAAACTTTTATTATTTTTAATTGCAAATTATTCTTAATTTTTTTACTTTATCTAATTTTTAAATTATCAACTTAATGTATATTTTCCTGTTAAATTCTTATTTTTAGGAGTATTATTTACAAATTATGTTACTATCGTTTTTACTTTTGTCTTAGAACTTTCATTTTATTTTTTTTATATATAAAAATATAACCTTTGAGTCTTTGAAGATGTTAAAAAAACCACACACATAGTAATGATAGTACCGTGTAAACGTTCATATTGCTTTAAATCATGTTTCTACAGACTAGCACATTTATTGACTAATTTAAGACTTATTAATTTTAATAAGTTAAAAAAATTTACCCTTCTTCATTTTGAATTAGAGTTTAAAGTATGACATTTATCTAAAGCTTTGAGCAGCACCATAATAATTAAACAAAGTAACGCAAACAATTTGGCTTTGGGTTGTAGGAACACGGAAGAGGCGGAAATTGAACGTCAGCCGCCCCGAGTTACACGTCTCGTGCAAGAGTGTATATTTATGCATGAAAGGGGTGGCCAGCATCACCCCTTCGTCAACAGACAAAGGCGCGCGCGTTTTTGGTGCTCGCTCGTGTGTCGGCGGATAAGACGCGGCGGCGGCGGCGAAAGCAGCAGCGACCGAGTGACTGCACAGTCGCCGCGGGCCCTAATATTCGGCGTCTTAATTAACTTATGGCGCTGGAACAATGTCGCAGGGTGGCGCCGCCGCGTCTCCACCCCTTGTCTCGTTTCTCTTTTGTTCCGAAACCACTGCTTATGTTTCGCACAATGCCACGCAGACTTCAATAGGGGCAAAAAAAGTAGAACTCTTAAGTCTCAGAAATTTTGTGATGGAAATTTAGGTTCTCGTCGATTCTGAATTATTATAATTTTTTTAATAAAGTTAAAAAGAAGCGCGTCTTCACTATATTTATGCTTTTTAATTCTCTAATGAGTCCCAAAGGTATCAAAAGTTTTTTTTGTAATTTTTAAAATTATTTTTGCTATTCAAATTTTGAAAAAGGAAAAAAAATTCCTTTTTTTCCTACAACTAAAAGCAATTATTGATTTTCAAAGAAATCAGTGCATTTTAAATCAATATCAATTTAAACTTAATTAAAACATTAAGCCATTGATTGCTTAGCTCTGTTTAAGTTTTGATCCAAATCTGGGAAAAAATTTAAAAATTCTGAATATATAGTACAGAAATTGTAATTGAAGTCTGTAAATAGTAGCAGATTTCAATTTACAATTATCAAAAAATCTTACCAATTTCAAATCTGATTGACAAAATTTTACAAAGATCCACAGCAAAGTTCTTTTATAGCAAATTAAATAAAATCAACTTTTAATGACCATCTTGTGAGCAAAAATAAAGGCTTAAATTATCAGATTTTAAATTTCTTTAGATTTACAGAGACTATTATTATTTTCTTCACTTGATTTGGCAGAAGAATTTAACTTCTAAACTTTATTTTTAAGGAAAAACGTCCTGTTATCCTATTATAGGAAAATCGTTGACATAATCTCATGTTCAGCAGAAAAGAGAACAAAGAAAAGCCTTCGTCGAACAAAACCGCCAAAATTCCGTTGCTGACTAAAACCCTGGCGCGCATTTCTTTGCGTCTCGTAAGCAAACTCTGCGTCTGTTAGCTTGCCAATATAATCTGCGGAAGGGAACGGAGAAAATCAGACAGTCGCGAGATTGGATTCTTCCTCCTCGTTCGGAACAGGCCGTGCAACATAATCAGATATAGAAATGTGTCTGCATGCCCGGCACCAAATTCCCTTCCATTTCCAGCACATATAAAACCCGCGTTCTTTGGGAAAATAGAGCGTAAAAAGTGGCAGAGAAAGAGCGAACGACGCAGCCTATTTTCTTTGTTATCATCATTCTCGTGCGCTTGCCAAGGCGCATAAATAAGTCCCTGCAAAATGTTCTGCGGTGAAAAAAAAATTAATGCACTGACTTAAATTTAAGTGGAAAATATTATATTTCTTGGAATGATAGAATGAATTATCTACGTTTTAATTTTTGATAAAATCTAATATTAAAATGTAAAAAAAAAAATCATTTGAACTATGTTAAAATAAAATTTGAACTTTGAATTTTCTGTTCTTTTCTTCAAAAAAGTTGTCTAAATTATAATAATTTTTTGACACTTTTAATGCCCACAATTAATTGACTTTAACAAATTTCAGCAATCTGGAAATTCTAGTAAAATGCAGAAAACAAACTAATTTTGAAAGAGAAAAAAAATTGTTTCATCTTTTATCATAGCCGCTTTGCCAATTGTACTTTTGAATTTTAAATTTTAATCTTTAAAAAAACTTATTCCGACTAAAAATGATACAACAAACCCTAAACAAACGTGTGATTATTTTTCTGAAATATAAACGAGTAACGTTCTAATAAAAATAAGACGGTGTTATTTTAGTTGACAAAATATTAATTTATTATATTGTTATCATACAATTCAATTCCCATACTTTGATTGTAAGGTTATATTGTTGTCAGCTGTCAGCAGTAAAAGAATGCATTTGACTAATTATAAATGATCTTGCGTCTCGTTTTGCTTCCTCACTAGCTGCAAGTGCTTTTTACGACGTCTTACGCATTTTTCACCACATATCCCTCTAAGCAACATGCTGGATCCTATCCGTGAAAGCAAAGCATCATTGATCGCGGTCAAAACTGAAAACAAAAATTGTAAAATTAAAAATGTAAGTACAGCAGAGGGGATTTCTTTGAAATACGTTTCTAATCTTCCAATTTTCTCATATAATTTATGTATCGAATTTAAAGTAAAATTGTAATATCTGTCTTGCAACAATACCTGGTACACTTATTGTTAATCCGTCACAATCGTCGTCTTCCGCGTTGTAAACTTTTCCCTCTGGACACATCTCAACCGCCGCGAATTCTGCTGATTCTGCCACGTCCATAACAAGCAAAACGAAGAGCGCAGTGATTGTGGAAATCTTGAAAAACAAATCTCGAGCCATCTTAATTAATGGACCGCTTCCCACACGCTAACTACCAATAAATAAGCGGCCACCAGTAATAAGGCGTTTGATGGTGTAACGCTGACATTGACCTTCGATCTTTTTCATGGTAAAGCCCAACGCATTAAATTAAGTAGAAAACTATATATATGCTTTCATGGAAAAAAATCGCTTGAAGCACTTATTTTAATAAAGCAGCAAAATATTCAGACATAATGGTTTACAATAATACATGGGCTATCAATAATGCATTATGAAAATATTTTGTCAGTTTATATATGTACGGAGTGCGGAAGCATTAAAAAGCTAAATATATGATAAAGAAATAACTTCAACTAACTTTTTTGTTTTTTTTTTATAACGTAGAAACAAATTTTTATAGAGTATGATATCATGTAAATTTATTATAAATGAAACAATATTACTGGGAGATAAGATATTATATTTTTTTTCAAATAAATGCAAGTGTAAGCAGAAATTATATTATTCATTATTTTATTTTTTAATTCATTATCTTATCTGTTAATTTTAAATGAGTGAATATCTGGTGAGAAAATAGACATTGGAAAATACTCTAACATAATTACATACATTCATTTTCAAATTATATGAACATGAAGTGAAAAAAAAAATGTTTCTTTTCTGATTACTGAGTCGTCCAAAACACCAAACTTAAAATGTTATTTTTTTATTAACGCTCAATTATTAATTCGGTTCCAAGCAGAAATATAAAATGTATTGTATGCTTCTCTTATTTTTATCATGAATGATTTCACAATCTCCTGCTGCCGCTGACAAATCGACTTTTGTGCACGCAAACGGAGCGTCTTTGTACATAAATTTGGTCTTCCATGCATTTGATCTCTCTTTTAGGGAAGTTGGTTGCGACGCCTAAACCGACGGGCTTGGGTAAAGTCGACATCATCGTCATCTAAAAACAGATTGGCAAAATCTTTAGAATGAAAAAAGTTGATATGAAAATGGAAGAAGAGGAAGGTTTATTTCATTTGTATGAAGTGCACATTTTTGTATAATTCATTTTTATTACTCCGAGGTAAAAAGAAAGCTTTCAAATAATGCCATTTTTAAATTAATTATGCTCTATATTAAGTTTTATCACAGCTGATATAAAAAATAAGTTGACACACGTTGATGTAAAATAAAAAAATTAGTTTACATTTAGCCGAAATAAATAATTCAAGACTCGGCTGATGTAAATAAATAAGTATTGCAAATAAATCGTACCAGGTATCCGAACGACGCAACTGTTTTGGGTCGCGTTGAAAACCATGCCCAAAGGACAACTCTCGTCCTCCGCTAGTTTGTTCGCGGCTGCTCTCGATTCGACCACATCGACATCAAATAAAATTATGAACGCCGTGAGTGAGGCGAGCAGACACACGATGCGTGCCATCTTATCCAACTGAACCTCACAAACTGAGTGGTCTGCAGCAACATGAGCAGTGACTTGAGCACTCGTCTTGACCGGAATGACCTTTGAAGCCCAACGGATGATGTCATGGTTAACACTCGCTTATAACTGCTCAAAATCAGCATGAAAAAAGATGGATAATATTTGTCATCCAAGCTAACAGAACATAAGCGTTAACACCGTAATTAGTTAGTTCTATTGTTCGACTAAAAAAAACTTCTTGCACTCTCGTCACAAAGTTTTTTAATATTTCTTAACTTACTAGTCATTTGTACTCAAGTCAAGAAATAATTTAGAACAGTTTTTTTTTTAATTTCGTAAATAACAGGTACAAGTTTAGTTTGAAGATAAAATTACCCTTTATTTAAAATTTCTGAACTATTGATGATGCTAAATCAACTCTCATTTTTGCAGCATTTCACATATTATCTGCAGTGAAAAAAAATTTAATGCACTGACTTTAATTTAATTAAAATAATTGAATGAATCATCTACGTTTTAATTTTTGATAACATTTAATATTAAAATGTACAAAAAAAAAAAGGCGCATAAATAAGTCCCTGCAAAATGTTCTGCGGTGAAAAAAAAAAATGTAATGCACTGACTTAAATTTAAGTGGAAAATATCATATTTCTTGGAATAATAGAATGAATTATCTACGTTTTAATTTTTGATAAAACTTAATTTTAAAATGTAAAAAAAAAATCATTTCTATGTTAAAATAAAATTTGAACTTTGAATTTTCTGTTCTTTTCTTCAAAAAAGTTGTCTAAATTATAATAATTTTTTGACACTTTAATGCTTACAATTAATTGACTTTAACAAATTTCAGCAATCTGGAAATTCTAGTAAAATGCAGAAAACAAACTAATTTTGACAGAAAATTTTTTTTTTCATCTTTAATCATAGCCGCTTTGCCAATTGTACTTACGAATCGAATTTTAAATTTTAACCTTTAAAAAAACTTATTTCGACTAAAAATGATACAACGAACCCTAAACAAACATATTATGTAATTATTTTTCTGAAATATAGACGAGTTTTCTAATAAAAATAAGACAGTGTTATTTTAGTTACAAAAAATATGTATTTTTTAATTTATTATATTGTTATCGTATAATTCAATTCCCACACTTTGATTATAAAAGGTTATATTGTTGTCAGCTGTCAGCAGTAAAAAAATGCATTTGATTAATTATAAATGATCTTGCGTCTCGTTTTGCTTCCTCACTAGCTGCAAGTGCTTATTACGACGTCTTATGCAGGAGTAGTTTTCACCACATATCCCTCTAAGCAACGTGCTGGATCCTATTTGTGAAAGCAAAGCAGTATTGATCGAGTAACCTGAAAAAAAATTGTAAAATTAAAAATGTAAGTACAGCAGAGGGGATTTCTTTAAAATACGTTTCTAATCTGCAAATTTTCTCATATAATTTATGTATCGATTTTAAAGTAAAATTGTAATATCTGTCTTGCAACAATACCTGGAACACTTATTTTTAATCTTTCACAATCGTCGTCTTCCGAGTTGTAAACTTTTCCCTCTGGACACATCTCAACCGCCGCGATTTCTGCTGATTCTGCCACGTTCATAACGAGCAAAACGAAGAGCGCAGTGATTGTGAAAATCTTGAAAAACAAATCTCGAGCCATCTTAGTGGACCGCTTCCCACACGCTAACTACCAATAAATAAGCGGCCACCAGTAATAAGGCGTTTTGATGGTGTAACGCTGACATTGACCTTTGATCTTTTTCATGGTAAAGCCCAACGCATTAAATTAAGTAGAAAACTATAAATATGCTTTCATGGAAAAAATCGCTTGAAGCACTTATTTTGTTAAAGCAGCAAAATATACAGACATAATGGTTTACAATAATACATGGGCTATCAATAACGCATTACGCAAATATTTTGTCAGTTTATATATGTGCGGAGTGCGGAAGCATTAAAAAGCCAAATATATGAGAAAGAAATAACTTCAACTAACTTTTTTGGTTTTTTTTAATAACGTAGAAATAAATTTTTATAGAATATGATATCATGTAAATTTATTAAAAATGAAACAATATTTCTGGGAGATAAGATATTATATTTATTTTGACTAAATGCCAGTGTAAGCAGAAATTATTTAATTATACGTATTATTTTTTAATTCATTATCCTATCTGTTAATTTCAATTGAGTGAATATCTGGTGACAAAATAGACATTGGAAAATACTCTAACATTCAAATTATGAACATGAAGTGAAAAAAAAATGTTTCTTTTCTGATTACTGAGTCGTCCAAAACACCAAAAATAAGCTGTTATTTTTTTTTTATTAACGCTCAATTATTAATTCGGTTCCAAGCAGAAATATAAAATGTATTGTATGCTTCTCTTATTTTTATCATGAATGATTTCACAATCTCCTGTTGTTGCTGCCGCTGACAAATCGACTTTGGTGCACGCAAACGTTGCGTTTTTCTACATAAATGTAGTCTTTCTTGCACTCTCTTTTAGGGAAGTCGGTTACGACGCCTAAACCGACGGGCTTGTTAAAGTCGACATCATCGTCATCTAAAAACAGATTGGCAAAATCTTTAGAATGAAAAAAAGTTGATATAAAAATGGAAGAAGGGGAAGGTTTATTTCATTTATATGAAGTGCACATTTTTGTATAATTCATTTTTAAAAAGAAAGCTTTCAAGTAATGCCATTTTTAAATTAATTATGCTCTATATTAAGTTTAAACACAGCTGATATAAAAAATAAGTTGACACACGTTGATGTAAAATAAAGAAATTAGTTTACATTTAGCCGAAATAAATAATTCAAGACTCGGCTGATGTAAATAAATAAGTATTGCAAATAAATCGTACCAGGTATCCGAACGACGCAACTGTTTTGGGTCGCGTTGAAAACCATGCCCAAAAGACAATCCTCGTCCTCCGCTAGTTTGTTCGCGGCTGCTCTCGATTCGACCACATCGACATCAAATAAAATTATGAACGCCGTGAGTGTGGCGAGCAGACACAAAATGCGAGCCATCTTATCCAACTGAACCTCACAAACTGAGTGGTCTGCAGCAACATGAGCAGCGACATGAGCACTCGTCTTGACCGGAATGACCTTTGAAGCCCAGCGGATGATGTCATGGTTAACACAATGGTTAACATAACTGTTTGAAATCAGCATAAAAAAAGATGGATAATATTTGTCATGCAAATTAACAGAACATTATCGTTAACACCGAATTAGTTAGTTCTAATGTTTGACAAAAAAAAAACTTCTTGCACTCTCGTAAGAAATTTTTTATTAAATTTTGTATAAATATTATTTATATTACTGTTTATTTCTACTCAAGTCATGACAAGAGAGAATTTAAAAAAGTTTTTCTAATCACATTAATAACAGGAGGTGCAAATTTCGTTTGAAAAATAATTATCATTTATTTAAAATTTCTGAGCTATTGATTTATCAAATTTCGTTTTTGCAGCATTAATTAACGTATCAAGAAGTTCCTCTTTCACATTCAATTCCTGCGAGTTATTGTGTGGAAGAGGCTGAAACCACCAGCCTTCTCGTCATCTATGCACAAACAGAAAAAGAAAACCTTAAAATAATAATAATAACCCCTTTCACATCTTGCCAATATTAAAAAAGTTTAATCACTTTATTAGATAACACATACATAATATGTAAAATTTGATCTAAAGTAAATATATTTTAATTATATCTGTGTCGCAAACAAATCGTATCTAGAGTTCGACGCAATGTTTTTGGGTTGCGTTGAAAACTTGGCCCGAGGGACACGTTGTTTGGTTCGTCTCTTGTTTGTTTTCAATTTCTTGAGATCCGGCCATGTCGACAATGAGCAAAACAAAGAGCGCAGTGAGTGTGCAAAGTGTGAAAAGCAGACGCAAAAAACCCGAGTCTTCTTAAATGGTTAGCCCTCACCAACCTCGCGAAATGATTTGCAGCTGACACAGATGACGGCTCTCACTTAACAATTAGACCAAGTGAACTTCGACCGATATCTATTGTTATGAAACCCATTGAATTAAATTTAGCTATATTTTTAGATCAATCACTATCACTTTGCTAAAAAAAATTATATTAATATAATTTGTAATGTATTATTTTTAAATTTTTACCTAATTAGTGCATATATTGGCTGAAACAGGCTCCAAGAAAAATTTTATAATTTTCATTGGAAGGATGATTTTACATTTATAAAATATTAAAAATTAAAATTATGCTGCTAAAATTGTTCAAGAGCTTTCGTTACTTTTTTTTCTATTTTAAATTTTTTTCCATCTGTAAATCACATTTGACACAATTTTGCCCTAGACATAATTTTTCAAATTATCATTTCCATGTAGATTTTCTATAACATTTCCACTTTTCTTAATTTACCTAAAAATTGCATAAAATTTCAAACCAAAACCGATCCATCTGATCCACTGAATCAAGTTGGCAAAATATAATCAATAAATCACAGGACTTTAGATATCCAAGGTCCTCCTTAAATTGAAATCTTGATGTTTTGCGCTCAATCCTCAAAAATTTTTTTATTCCGTTTACAATAAATTTATGAAATATCTTAAAAATATCACAAATTGTTTTGTAGCAAACTGACAAAGTTCACCAAGTGTTGTTTACAATCTCGCGATTAAAATTCAGACGCCATAGAGACCATTGCCCTGCATTCTGGTCTGTGTGTTGGGATTCCCAACTCGGGCATATAAGAAGTTCACACTAACTCACAATATTGGCGGCAGCCGTGCTGAAATAATCTTCCGCAGTGCGCCGTGGGCGATGATATTTTCAATATCGTGTGTGCAGCGGCCGTGAATGAATTGTCACATCTCGAGTGTCTGCCAAACTGCGATAATATCCGCGATGTTTCTTCATAACAACCTTCTCGTAGCGCGCGCGACCCCTTTTTTGCCGCGGGTCAAACAATCCCGTCCGCCGATCTGCTTTTCTCGCACCGACGTTATTTGTGTTCAGCCTTAATTTATTGCGATTTTGTGCAGACGACGGCTTATTTTATTATTGCGTCTTGAGAAAGAAATTCATGGAATCGAGAGAACAAAAAACTTATCTTGCCCAAGATCAAATTGCGAAATCGCGAGAGAGGAACAAAAAATTGTTGACAAACAGTTTACATTTCAGGAGAAGCTTTTTGTTTGTTGCGATTTATTTCATCCTAATTTTTCTTCCAATTTAATTAGGAAAAATGTTAAGAGAAGAATATTCTGTCAAGGAGATTATAATCTCATAAATCTCATATCAATGTAAGATTAATTCATTTTGCATAAATTCAGCGAATGAAGCGAAACAGAAAATACTCTCAGTGAGCTCTCAGCTACGTTTACGAAGGACAAGTTAAGGTAATGAAATTTGGAATTTTGAAACAAATTTTGGCATTTCAAAGTTAAATGCAACTGATTAAATCAAATAAATCAATTAGTAACTTTTACACATCAAATAAAATTTAAAACAATATTAAAATGTTAATAAATAAATTAAAGAGTAATCAGAGAAAACGTAAAAAATCTTACAATAACACTCTTAAAAATTAAATTAAATTAAAATTTTTAATATTACACATTGTGTTAGTGTATTATTTAAACTTAATTTTTGTTCACCATTACCCCCATTTCAGAGCCTTCTTGTATCAGTTGTATCATTGATGACATATTTTATGATATTTTTATCACACGTCGCATTATATGAGACGCAAATTAATTAATTCTAAACATATTATTCAGGTAGATATTAGTTGGTAGAAAATAGACTGAAAGTATTGCCAGAATTCATTATTTGAAGAAAAAAAAAAAATTAAAGCGGTGACTAAGAAGTTTCTGTTTTCTTTTTTTTTCACAACAAGGGAACCATTAATAAAAATAGAATGCTAAAAAGTTTAAAAAAATATATATACCATATAGTTATTGTCAAAAGTTTTCCAATTATCAATATCTGAAAACTTTATTTTTTTTAGTAATATTTATTGCTATTTATTATTATGATGAATGATGAATCGCATCAAAATCACTTAAATTTCAGTAAATTATATGATCATTTGCTAATAAATTTGATTAAAGAAAATAGTAAAAAGGATTGCGAATTTTGTTGGTGTGATGAATGGTGAAACTGGAATTAAAGCTTAAGTGAGCGGCGCAGCATCTCCGAGTTCACCCGCCACGCGGCTCTCTCTTATTTCTCCCGCAATTTCTGCACACGCAAAGTTTCAAGCACGGAAATAATAACCACTGGCAGGGCCGCCGCCGCCGCTGCTATTTACAAATTTCAAACTCGTCGCTCTCGCGTAAGTGAGAGGGAAGGGAAAATCGCCGGCGGCACTACCAAATTTTCCTCACTAACTTGCTGATATTACGGGGATTACGTATCGCCATTACGCGAGCAAATATGGAAATTTTCTCCTTTTTGCCGCCGCTCATGAGCAATAATAAAGATTTGGCCGAGGAATTATTTTGAGCTTCTACCCTTGCGAGAGAACGAGCCGCCGCTTTCCGCACTCGGAAAAGTTGTTCCAAGTTTTGTGTTGTGAAGAGGGATTATTTCGGTAAAACATTTCTCTGTAAGGAGCTATAAAATTAAATTCCTCATAGTTTGCATCAAATTGCATAGAGAAATTTATATATCGGTGAAAAAATCAATCAAACTTTTTCAGATATTTCTTAGCTTGAAAAGTGATCTTAACTTTTACAATAGAAAACATATTTTACTATTAATTGTACTTCAAAACTAATTATGTTCAACAAAAGTAGCTAATTTAAAAAAAAAAGACAATAAATTTTTTTTACATACATACATATTTATTTAGTTGCAAATTGTGTTTATTGATCTATCACAAAGGCAAATGCTGACAATAACGGGATACATCATTTATTTAGCTGTCATGGAATAGTTGGTTTGAATTAAACTTTGGTTATTGCACCAATTTAATCAAAAATTTTTAGCGCAGTAATAAAATACAGTATAAGTTATAACTCATCTTGATTGCAAGCATTTTACATGGAAATGAAGAAAATCGGGCTTGTCCTCGTTGCAAAAAATTGTTTTTATTCAAAAACAAAACGGCTTTTTGGAATAAAAACAATTTTTTGCAACGAGGACCAGCCCGAATTTTTGCATTTCGATGATCATCTCCTCGAGTGGCAACTTCTTCAAACAAAAATGTATTTTTACAGCCTTGTAATAAGGTGTGATATGACAAATATTATTTCACTATACGCACGCATCTATTACGACGCCTTACGTACATGTAGTTTTCATTACACAATCTTGCGACTCTTCCAGGCAATCCAGTTGTTATTGATAAACCCAAAGCCTTGTTGCTATCTTTGAACAGAATAAAAGATTATTCTTATTAAAGATTAAACTATTTATACAAAATTTAAATATTTAAATCTCTAATCTGACATATTTCCGTAGTTTCGCTCATGATTTGTAAAAAAAATTGAATAATTATATCAGTTTTGAATAAAAATTATACCTTCAGTTACTTCAGTATTTAATCCGTCACAATGGTCGTTTTCCGCGTTGTAAACTGTTCCCGCTGGACACATCTCATTCGCCGCGATTTCTGAGGATTCGGCCACGTCGACGACGAGCAAAACAAAGAGCGCGGTCAGAGAGAAATATATTAAAAACAGACGCAAAATTCGATCCATCTCAATCGACCTTGTCTCACAAACTAACCGACAATGTAAGTGGCCAGCAGCAAGGCGTTCGACGGCACAACTATCACATTGACCTTCGGCCTTTTTCATTGGAAGGCCCGTTGAATAAAATCATGACATGCTGTCATGATTAAACTCGCTAACACTTATATTATTTTCTAATATTCACCAATGTATTGCATATTTTTTTTTATTTGCAAATAAATATAGAGAAAAATTATTCAATATTTTTTCACAGCAAATATCCTAAATATTTCGTTCTTTACAATACATAAAATTTAAATTAATCTTCATCTATCAATGAAATATGAAACATGACTCTTTCAAAAAGGAAAAATATTTCAATTGTGAGTTGTGAGACATGTCTGAATATTTCCAGCATAAAACGAAATTTGCAAAAAAAAATGTTGTATTCTTGAAAATAAATATGTCAAAAAATCAATCAAATATTAAAAAAATGTGCTTCAATTTCATGTACATTATCATGTATCATGTTAGTCTTGATCAATTTTTATTTGAATAATATTTTAATAGAAAACTTGAAAATAAAATAAATTCAATGAAGAATAATAAGGACGAAAAAGCTGGTGTCCAGCCGGTTGCCTACCCTGCCAGTCAGAATTGATTAAAACCTTTGCGGGCAAGTGCACTTTGCTAAATTGAACGGCACTCGCGAGTCATTGGAAATTTCGTTCGCTGCATGCAAAGCAAAATTCGCCATCTAGTTGGCCAGGCGAGGCCCGCACTGTGTTGTCAGCATTTTTGCGGTTTGTCGGCTCTCTATGTGTGTGTCTCTCTGGTGTGATGGTTTGCGGCCATGAAGTTAGCCGTGCCATTGCTCTGCGGCGGATTGACCTTTCCGCTCCGACCTCTGGCTATTTTGGTCCCTTTTGCCAAACGTGCTGCAAAACTTTTACCAAAATCCATCACACACATACACCCTCCCTGCCATTGAATTACACAAAAGGTAATTAAAAATGCGGTAACTGTAGCTGCTTTTACCACCGCGGGAATGGCGCTTACGATGGAAAATGATGTGACGAGAATTTATTTGCATAGAGTAATTTTATAAATAAATATTTGAAAAAATAATCAAGATGCGATTGAAGCTGTTTTGCTGGTTGAAGATAAAAATTATTTTTAAAATATAAGAAATATACCATGGAAAATTTGAAATTTGATATTTTTAATTTTTCAACTTTTCATAATTGTCGAAAGTTTTTCACACGACGCGCCATTATTCAATGAATTTTATAAACCGGCTCATTATATGGCATTGATATTTGTTTATTACTTTGGATGCAGTATGCAGTGATTGATAAACTAGACCAACCCCAAAAGAGTATTATATTCGTAATACATAGCATTATTTTTATAGTTATGGATTCACGAATATTTAATATGTAATATGTATTTTATATCAATAGTATTTTTATAAAAAATAAGTTTAAAATTTTTAAAGAGAAGAAAAAGAATTAAAAAAACAAACAATATTAATATAAATTTTTATTCAATTTTATTATATTTGCTGTCCCAAATTATTTAAGTATATAAAAATATTAATAAATAAATAAATAAATATATAAATTGCTTTTTTTTAAATTTTTTAAAAATATCTTTTTTAATCTGTGCATAACAGTATTACTAAAACACATAAACAAGTATAGATCATGCCTCTTTGAGTATACCAAGCAATTTATATTAAATTATATGAAGTGTTGCTTTGTTAAAATCGAGCCAAAGAGACTTGTTATTTTTAATGTTTTTACCCAGCAATTCTTTTCATCTCCAAAGGTCAACTTAATTAAAACACCCACACAGGCTTAATCTAGTGGGTGCGCCAAGATGAAACGATTTTTATTTTTCGCCCCTGTCCTCAGTTACTTTTTCCTCGTATGGAATTTCCCTTTTTTTCCGAGGGATGAAAGACAAAACGCGCGCAGCATAAATCAAGTAATTGAAGCGTAACAATGCTCCCAATTGGACTCCATCCATGGCGATGCAGATGAGCAGCGGCGGTGGCGGCAAACAAAGCGAAAGGTCGGCACAATAAAAAGGAAGTCGTTTGATCTCGATTCATGGCCGCCGGTTTGCATTGGTAATTCCGCGCGAAAGGGTCGCAACCATGGCTACTCCTATAAAAAACTTTTCTCTCTCTCCCGCGGAATAAATAAGGCCGCCTTTCAACGGCCATAAAAATATAAATAATAACCCATTCTCTTTGCGCCGTTCCTCTTTATGTGCAGCGGTGGCGCCTTTCGTGAGATCGTGTTTTCACTAGATCCGTGTTTTATTTACGCAGGAAAATAAAGCCGATTTCGTTTGGTTTGAGAGCAGAAAAGGAGAGTGCCGAGAAGAAACGCACGCGCCTCTCTGTGATTTGTGTTTATGGCGAGATAAAATTTCTTTTCTAGGAATGCGCCCGTTTTGTGTTTTTACGATTCGCGCCGTTTTATTGCCCAAATTCTGCAGACCGGAAAAATATCCAGCGACAAGTAGTGTCCTTCCAAAACTAGTCAAGTGGAAAAGGAAAATATTGGATGTTTCCAAGAAAGAAAAAAAATCCATAAATTCTTTATCTTCTTTCCTGCATTTATCGATCCAGATGAATTGATTATATTGTGCCATATGATTATAATATAAAATAAAAATGAAAACATGGCAACTGTTTTTGAACAGAAATTAAATATAAATTTTGAACTTAATGTGGATTTGATGAAATTGTAATTGATTAATTAATTGTTGGCAAATGTAAAAGAAACATGCAAAAATACTATATTTGTCTTTTATGGGTTTTATTTCTTTGAAGGTGCTTTTTTCCCTGTTTGCATTACATACATTTCTCTAAAGTGATACTGTGATTTGTGCAAATTCAAAGTGTTCAACTATTCCATGCAATTTCATTAAGAGAAAGCTCTCTCAGGCTGATGGTATCGTCACTTTATTTTAGTTTGTTTTATCTCTGACTTCTGCACAAAGGCCTCATTCCCGACATGTCAAGCAGAAATGCCAAACTATTTGTAACAAGTCTGAATGAAATGCTGAGTGCGAAAGTTCAGCCAGCAATGTCAGGGGAGTTGTTCGTTTTGAAAGCTTTTAACTTATTACTTAGAATAATTCGTATAAAAGTTTTCTGAATGTCAATGAAGATATTTTCTATTTTTTTTTTAAATACATAATAATTATAAATATAGAGATCATGCAATAAGTCTAGTCTTTCATTGCTTCTAAAAAAACTCAATTCAAAAGCCTTTCCGCCAATTTTGATGAACGGAGTATTATAATTTTTTATATAGAATAGAGATCATTTCTGCTGCGTCCTTTTCTGTCATAATTTATTCATATTTTTCAACAATATATATATACAAACGATACCATTATAGATTTTTTCCTCATTTGGGTAGCTTTTTTGTTCAGCACTCAGCTTTTTATCGTTCATCAGGGACTCGATGAGCGAATATCAACCTCAAAATAGTTTCCGCTGTCAGCACCACTGAGACTTTGGGATCTTTGCTGAAGCAAGGAAGAGCCTAGGAGGCCTTGCAATGAATTGGTCCCTTTACCTTGGTTAAATTTTCCGTTCAAACGTTTTGGATTTGTAAATTTAAATTAGCACTGAAAAGATAATTTAAAATAATTTTTTCTAAGTAAACAAATCGACTTTATAATTGAATAATAATTTAAATAAGGTCATTATTTTTTTCTATAATGAAGAAAAAAAAATTAACAGATTTGCATGAATTTGTGGTGTTTGTATTTAATTCGATGGGACACTTTTTGTTTGAATTTTACCTTAAAAAGTCGCTATATTCTTAAAAACTAACATATTTTTCTTAAAACTATTACATAATAAGGTTTCGTATTATTTCTTGAATGTACCAAATTTCAACGAGACACAATTTAATTTTTATTTTGTCTAGCAGAATTTAAAAGGGCATCCAAAGCTCCAGGGGTGAATTAAGGGTGCGCTGTCGGCTGACGGAAGCTGCAGCTTCATTCGAGTCGCGTATACGGGGCAGCAGTTTACCCAACATAATGGGACGAGGCGCTTCCTTCTTTGGGCAAAAACAAGGTGAACAAAGCTGCTGGCAAAGTTTGCCTGCCGCTGCCCGGCGCTTCAGGAAAAAGTGACAGGGACGTGCAGTGCTTGGCACTTGCGAGCACCAAATTAAAACGTGTCCCTCCGGCGAGAAAGCGATTTTCTCCCGCGCGCCGTAAACAAACTTGTACATATGTATACGTTACATGGGAAAAGGCGCCGCCGGCTGCTGCGAGAAGAGATGCATTCAGTCGCTCAAATTTTACGATCGGCCCAACTTTTTGGCCGGCGCCCAGATCGTAAAGCTTTTCCCAGCAGCATGAATTAGTGCGGACGTATTTTATTCGGCAGGATTTGGGGAAGAAAAACGCCGCGGTTTTTTGCCCAAAAGTTTCCAAAGGGATGTTTTAAATGGTGGTCGAAAATAGACGGCATTGTCAACAAAACGCAAATAACGATTTTTTTTCTGATTCATGACAATGCGAGGTAGTTGCAATGCAGAAAACAATTTAAGAGTAATTCAGAACCGCGAGCGTCAACATTACTGCGCGTGTAAATACAGTTTTATTAAAGCACTAAGTTGAAATTACGTCAAATTTCAATGTTTTATTTTCATTTTAATTTAAACTCTTTTTAAATCCAGATATGCGATACTTAGAAGAGAAAATTTGTTATTTATATGTTACTAATTCCTATAAAGAAGTAATAGATAAAAATATATTTTAATCATAAAACCTTTTTCTTACAAATCTTTCCAAAATTAAAAAAATTTTCAATGTTAAAAGCTTTAAAATGTTATTGGTTTTTGTACATTAATAATTTTATAGTAAAAATTAATTTGTGTCTAAAGTAAATGAATCAAGCTCAAAAATTGAAAAAATATGGAACTGAGGTGAGATTGTTTGTTTTTAAGAGTTTGCAATACTCAGGATTTGAATAATTCATCTTCATTTTTGTTTATTTAACTTTTAATT